TCCATAGTCGTTTCAGGCAAGTCCCCGGGCTCGTGGGGGGCCACGAGAGCCCGAAGAACGCCGCGAACAGCCGCAGGAGGAGGAGGAGGCGGAGGAGGAGGCGGAGGAGGCGGAGGCGGAGGCGGAGGAGGAGGAGGAGGAGGAGGAGGAGGAAAACGAGAAGGAGGAGGAGGAGGAGGAGGAGGAGGAGGAGGAGGAGGAAGGCACGTCCCCCTCGGGACCCGTCCCCGCCACGGCGGCTTCTGGGCCCCCGACTCGCCCGCTCGATATCGCCCGCTCGAGCCCCGGGCCTTCGAGGTGGGAGGCAACGTCACAGGGGGGGACCAGCTCACGGGGAGGGACATCGGCCTGGACTCGGCGATCCTGCACGCTCCTGGGAGGGCCTAGGCCATCAGGCCCCTGTCGGCGATGAGTGCCCCCCCCCCCCCCTGAGCCTGTCCCTTCCTGCACGTTTTGCCCCTGAGCGTATCCCCCCTGTGCCTATCCCCCCCCTGAGCAGATCCCCCCTGAGCCTGTCCCCCCTGGGGTCGATGCACCCCCCCCTGGGGCCCCCCACGTGATCTGCGCCCGTCGCTGTGGAAGAAACGGTTCCTGAAGGCAACGGGTCCTGAACTTTTTCGCCGTCTTCGGGCTCCCGGGGCCCTCCACGGGCCCTGGGACTGTCAGAAAACGACTCGGAATGACGATCTCGTGCTGGGGGAAGGCACCAAGGTCCAGGACGCGTTTCCCTCAGGACCCGTTTCCCCTATGCTAAGATCTGCGCGCGCACCGCGCGATCAACGAACTGCAGGGGCCATGGTCGGAGAGCGCGCGATATAGTCAACGCGCACAGCAAAGGAGCAGTAGAAGGAGGCAAGGGCCTTGGAAGGCCATGTCGACGCTTTCCGAGCGGGGCGCGGCCAGCGAGACTGGCCAGGGATGGGCTGACGGGGAAGCATGCGAGGGCAACCTTGGAACATCGTTCATCCCTACCCCTCGCGCAAACTGCAAGCAAATACTACGCGGAAGGGTGCAGGCAGGGCGGAGGCCGCGGGGAGAGCGCAAGAGCCAGGCCTGCCCACCTCGCGCCCTCGCGCGCCCCGCGGTGCGCAAGTTGCGCGAGGCTCTCCTCGCAGGCCTCGCGACGCGCCCCTGGAGCGAGCGGCAGCTCTCCGGCCCAGGACGGCCGAGCGAGCGGGGGCGGCCGAGCAGACGAGCAGACGGGTCGGGTGCTGCCAGAGGTGCCCCCTGGCCCAAGGTGCCCCCAGCTTTCCGCTCCACTTTGCAGGCCCTGGGGCCCGCTGGGCCTCGCGAGGCCTGCTGGCCTGGCCCACCCCGAGAATCCTGGAGGCACCTTGGGCCATGGGCACTTCTAACAGCACCCGAAATGGGAGGGCGAGAAGATCTTTTCCTACCTGGCCCCACTCCAGCGCAGCCGCTGCCGCACGGCGGGGGGGGGGAGACTAGAGCTCATTGGGCTCGATCTGGAGGGCCTCCGGTTGCAAGAACTGCAGGTCGATGCTGTGGCCAGCCATCAGGAGCACCGCAGAGGTGGTCCAGCCGGTAAACGGCGCCGCTCCGAGCCTGGACAGCCGGCCATTCACCCCCACCCCCCGTGGCGCCCTCCCGGCCAAGCGCGGGGTGCCAGACGCATGCGGACCCTACCACTGCAGGTCAGATAATCGAAGCACAAGCACGAACGACCTCAGAATGCGCAGGGTGCCTGCCTGCACTGGAGTGGACCCCCATGGGGATGCCCGAACCCCCCAGCGTTGATTGGAATGTCAGGGGTAGGATTCGCATGCAAGTGGTCGCCGACCCAAGGATCCGACGACTCGTGTTTTCAATGCACCTCAGGGGTCCCGACCCTTCCCGGGGACGCATTTGTCGCCCCGGCGGTCCTTCTTGTTGACGGACCCGGAGGCCGATAACAAGACTCAGGTCGGGCATGTCCCCCTCCAGGGGGGTTTTGGACGGAAAATTAGAAAAATAGTCCAAACATGCCCCCCAAATATCGAAAATGTCACAAAAATAGTCCCCCGACTATCTGTTTGGCTATGTTTGAATATTCCTCCTGTAGAGGGACAGACCCGCCTTAAGATAAGAACTCCAGGAAAAAATTGCAGCGAGAACGCCGAGATTGAACAAGAAACAAGTCGTCGGAGCTCTGGGCATACGGCGGGGGGGGGACATGCCGAGGTTCTCCCGTGCCCCGCGGCCCCTGGCCCGTCTGCGGGTCGAAGTTCTCGAAGAAGTAGCCCTGCATGTGGTAGGCCTTCCGAGTAGGGGATCCCTCTCGACAACAAAGGTGAAAATTAAGTCTTTTCGACAAAACGCAGAATGCGCGCACATCTAGGAACACTCTACATATGTTTGCTTCTGTAGCTTCAATAAAACTTCGACTTCGGGGGCAAAACATGGAAGAAGACAAAACGCCACAAACATAAACCTTCGGCGCTCCGCGCGGATTTCCTGGATCTGCGCTAGCCTGGACCCCCCGCTCTGGCGCGGGAAGCGCACCAGGGGCGGCGCCGGAGGCGACGCCGGGGGAGCCCAGCGCGGATCCAAGAAATCCGCGCGGAGCGCCAACAGTTTATGTATCGGGGAGACGCAAAACTCGGGTTCGGGGGACTCGGGTTGGCCTGACGGGGTCATCATGAAAATGACGAGGCCCAACCTGAAATTTAACGCGAGCTCCCGCTGCAGGCATCCCACGAAAACCGGACCGTCAAGATCCAGGCCGCGCTCGTCAAAAACCGCTGGCAAGCCGGAGTTCCAGCGCGCTCGAGCCTTACGATTCCCCGAATGGTGGGGAGCGGGGCGGGAGTGCGTCTCCCCTTGGCCGAACCCACTTCCGTGGTCGATCCCCCCGGCGCGAGGCCTTCACCACCGTCTCCACGAAGCCCCGGAGCACGGCGCCGTGCAGCTGCCGCGCGCCCTCGCGTGGCGCGCGCTCGAGGGCGGAGATGGCCAGGAAGTCCGGGTGCTGCCCGCGGGTGCCCCCCCCCTGGGCATCGCTCGGACGTCCATTCCCTGTGTTGGTTCGGTTTCGTGTGCGGTTTTTCGCCAAATGATCAAGGATGCTCCTCTACGGTCCTCGCCGAAGGAAAAATACACACGTCCGAGCGATGCCAAGCCCGTGGCCCGAGGTGCCCCCTGCTTGTCGCTCCGTCTTGGAGACCCTGGGGCCCCCCAGGGGCCTCGCGAGGGGTGCTGTAGGGAGGCCGCCTGGGCCACCCCGAGCATCCTGGGGGGGGCCACCTCAGGCCGGTGGCGCACAGGCTAGCAGCACCCGAGAAGTTGAGGTTGGCCCAGATCTTGCCCCGCCAGTAGTTCTCGCCCTGGCCGTACAGCGGGTCCTCTCCGCAGAGGGGCGCCTACAGTCGACCAGTATCATCACAAGGATGCACGATGAGGATGCAAAAGGGCCTTGGAGACGGCCGTTGCGACGCGTTGCGAGCGGGGCGGGGCCAGCGAGAGCGGCCAAGGATGGACCGAGGAGGCAAGGATGCAAGGGTACTCCGAGTTTCTTAAGAAGCGTCGGGGAGGCGCCACCCCCGCCGACAGCCCCACATCGACCCCCGTCGCGGGTAGCCACCGCGCGCCAAAGACGCTCCGACACCCGTCGCGGCGCGACGACAAGGCGAAGTTGACCCCCGTCGGAGGGGTACCCCCCCACGTTACTTACGAAACCCAGAGTAGCTTGGGAAGGTTGCCCATCCTTACATTGCGCCCTCCTCCCCATCCTCCTCCTCCTCCTCCTCCTCCTCCTCCTCCTCTCTCCTCCTCCTCCTCCTCCTCCTCCTCCTCATCCTCCTCCAATCCTCCTCCTACTCCCCCTCCCCCCTACTCCCACCCCCTCCGCGCGGCCGACCCTGAGCTGTTCCTTGCCAGCTCAGGGCCAGCCCAGGGGCCGCCCTGTTGCGTCATACCGCGCAGAGGTCAGCGCACCCACTGCACACCTCAGAAAGCGTGCGCGCACAGTGACCATACAGTCGGGGCGTTGACCTAAGGAACCCTAAATAAGGAACGAGGCCCCTTTTTCCCATAAGTTCAACCTCGATTTCCCATGGAAAACCTCAGGAAAACCCGAGGCAAATTTTGAAACAATCAAGGAACACCGAGCCCCTCCCCAACGAAAGGGTTCCTTCTTCAGCGCCCCGACTGTATCCTACACGCACGCACGAATGCACCCATATCGCTCGGCCAAGCTGGCTCGGCCAAGCTGGCGCGTCTGCCTGGCTGGGTCGCTGCCTGCCAAGGCGAGACCGGCCCCCGTAGGGCAGGCAACACGTCATACCTCGGCGGCGAGCGAGGGGGGGGAACTGAGAAGGAGAAGGCCTTCTCGAAGGCGGCGGGACTTCTCAGAGACCCTCGCGCCTTCTGAGAAGATGTACATGTGTTTTCGGGGAAGGCTTGGGGACTACCGAACCTTCCGAGAAGGCATTCCCCTCCTCACTTCCCCCCATCGCTCGCCGCCGAATAACCCGCGCAGAGGTCCGCGCGGAGGGCCCCGGGATGCCGAGGACAGGCCCCCCGAACTATCACGCAGAGATCAGCGTGGAGGGCCCCCCGATGCCGAAGGCAGGCCTCCAGCTGCCGAAGACAGCCACAGGCCGGCCGCTCCAACGTTGCATCCGCGCCGACGGGACCTCTGGGGGCCCCGAGGGGGGGGCCCTCTGGCCAGGCGCGCGGCGGCGGTGCACGAGTCGGGTGTCCTCCTCTGCGGAGAATCGCCGAGCATCCGACCCCTACGACCGTGCAGCAGGATCCCGAACACAAGAGCCCTTCCGAAAGACGCCCAAACATGAGATCCCAGGACGTCCATGGATTTCCAGTCTGGGAACGTCACGCTTTCCATGGCTCTTTCGGGCCCCCGCGGTGGTGACCTGCAGTCATAACTGATATCAAAGATGCGCGATACAGTAGGAACTCGACCACAAGAACCCTTGAACAAGGCACATTACCCTGAGACCCCAGGACGTCCATGGATTTTCGGTCTGTGAACGTCGCGCCTTCCATATGGCAGAACCATCGGAGCCCTGGAGGCAAGCAGGGCACCATGGAGGCAAGCAGGGCACCCTGGAGTGCGTTTCGTGGCCTAGGTTTCCACTGTACCCGTTTCCCCTATGGTGAGCACCGTGCTGGCGATGGTGCTGAATCAAGATGGCTCCACGCGACTGTTCACATTTACGAGTGCTGACTGGGGGTTCGCCTGCAACGCTTAGATCCAAGTCTACGGTTGAAACCGTCTGCGAATAAGTCGAGGATCTGCTAACCCAGATCAATCAGACACAGGTCAGCAGGAAACCAGAAAACGGCAATGCAGAACAACAAAACTGCAACGGAGGGCTACGCAAACCTGGGTCAGCCAATATGCGCGGCCGCCTCGCGGCCACAAGCGGCTCGCTAGCCCGGGTCAGCCAAAGGGGGTCTTCGCAGGATCCTGCAGGATCCGGTGCCCTGGCTGACCCCTTGTTGCATTGACCCCCGTCTCAATGTATCCGAATAAGGTAGGTTCGTGCGGCGTCGGCACGAGCAGAGGTTGTTGGCAGCGCGTCGATCGATCAGCCTTGAACTGATCGCGGCCCCGATCGTTCAAGGTTGAATTCCGTCGGGTCTTGAGGCGCTACCGTGCCCCTCAGTGTTTCCGCATCGTTCTATGATGCGGGGTTCGAACCTGAACACCTTCGCCGGAGTCGCCGGCGCGCCATCGCAGCATGAACCTACCGCATCCCCAACGGCGTGGCCTGTGCCCCACCGGCCGATTTACCCCCCTCGATAGTGGATATAGGCCGTTCCCTTCGGCTTTCGAAGGGTGTACCCCCAAGTTGGGTGAGAAAACGGTGGGGCTGGGGTTAGGTCGGGCATGCCCGCCTACAGGCGGAGCTTCGACGAAAAGATCAAGCATGCACGAAAAATACCCTGAAATATGCAAACATAGTCAAACAATCATCCCCCTATGATTTGTTGTACTTTTTTGACTATGCCTCCTGTAGAGGGTCAGGCCTGGCGTAAGGCTGGGGATGGGCATGAGGATCGAGGGTCGGTGAAGCGATGCTGATCTCCGCGGGTCCTTCGTCGACAGGGACGGCACGCCGTGCTCCGTCCACAGGCCGGCGCTGCCCATCGGGTCGAGGGCGCCCAAGATGGGACGAGCCCACGCGCTGTCGGGAGGGATGAGCCCCAGGAGCAGCGGGAAGAGCGACACGTACCTTGGGCGCCCGAGCTATTCGGGGTAGCTCGGGCCCGGGGTGACTCGGGGTCGGCTTCCCGAAACACGCGCCCGAGTTAGCCCTGACCCGAGTTACCCCTGATGATTCAGGGCTCTGGGCGCCCGAGCTATCCAGGGTAGCTCGGGCGCGGGGTGACTCGGGTTTGGCTTCCCGAAACACGAGCCCGAGTTAGCCCTGACCAGAGTTGCCCCTGATCATTCGGGGCTCAGGACGCCCGAATGATCTGGGGCAACTCGGGCCTCGGGCAACTCGGGTTCGGCTTCCCGAGAAACGAACCCACGACAGCCCTGACCCGAGTTGCCCCTGATGATTCTGGGCTCTGAGTACCCAACGTGCGGCGAGTGACTCTCGCGCGTGCTGCTCCACAGGCCACCCCGGCGCTCCTCCAGCTTGAGCGCGCGCTTGCAGCCCTGGCACTCGCAGAAGTCCGGGGACCCACCGCACCACCCGGACGGGGAGCAGCAGGGCCCTCCTCCGCGGGAGGGCGCTCATCTCTCCTCCTCCGCCTCATTCTGCTGCTGCTACTGCTGATGCTGCTCCTCGCCGTCTTCCTCCCCGTCCTCTTCCTCCTCCGCCTCCTCCGCCTCCTCCGCCTCTCGACCTTCTCCTCCTGTATCGCCCTCCTCCCCATCCTCCACCTCCTCATCTCGATCCCGCTGCTCCACATCCGCCTCCCCGTCCTCATCACTCGTCAGCCACTTCCCCCCCCAGCCGCTTCTCCATCCGCGCTTGCTCACTGCCCCTTCCTCCTTCTGCACCCTCGTCCGATCTCCCCATCTTGATGGACAACAGGACATACCGAGTCCGCTACCCTCCAGACCTCAGCCGGGGCACGTTCTGACCAGGACTCCAAGGCGAATCCAGCCGTGGCGGCGAGGGCCCCCCTTGGAGGCCCAAAAGAACCGAAGAGGAAGGGAAAGGCATCTGTCTCGGTACTGGCTCTCTCCCATGACCACCGTCCCCCTCCTCCTCTCCTCACCTGCGAGGCGGGTACCCATCCAGAACCCAGCGCCTGGGGAATCGATCTTCGGGGACCTCGGCAGGCGGTGGATATGGATATCTGGCCCGAGTATAGCCATCTCACCGAGGTCCCCAAACATCGATCCCCGACGTAGTGGTCATGGATGTATCTCCGCCTCGGATCATCGCTTTTGGCCCCCCCAGGCCCACGGGATAGGCAAACGGCCCTGGTCCTCCATACGGATCGCACTGGCCCGGCACCTGGCGCCCCCCCTCGATGGACGGGAACTCGCGGCCGCAGCGCCCGTCCGTCCGCCAGGGCGGCACGACCACCACCTGCAGGCTGGGGACAGAACCCCATCGCCCCGCTGGATACCCGAACCCCTGACGCCGTGATTTTTGTTCACGACGTCGACCCTCAGAGGTCTCGACCTCTTCCCCGGGACTGGTTTTTCATCCTGAGTCTTTGTTCGACGGCCCCGAGGCCTGGTAAGGGCCTCCAGAGGCCGAAAATAGCAAAAGCCTTCCGTCGTGATTGCCTCAGAGCGCGAGCGGGCCTGGGCATCAGGAACCTCCAAGCGCAGGCCCGGTCGATGGGAGGCATCCCTCCCCCTTGGCCCGACACGGCCCCAGGCGGCGCTTCAGGTCTGGGGGGAAGCAAGACCACCGCCTGCAGGCCAGGGACACAGCCCCATGGCCCCGCCGGAGGGTGTAGAAATCACGCTGCCACAAGGAGCGACGAGAAGAAGGAGCGAAGAGGCTTTTCAAGCCGCGGCTGGCCTGGGCCACAAGCGGGTCTCTCCCCCCCCACACACACACACACACACACACACACACCTACACACCTGCGGAGCGGACCGACCGCTGAGCTCCTCCTGAGATCCGAGTGCTCCTCGGTTCAACGTCTTCCTTGGCTACGAGGCCTTCCAGGCGCCCCTGTCGAAGCGAAGCGCCCCTTCCGCGGAGCGAAAAGGCACAGTCCCCAGCGCATCGAGAGTGGCGAAGGGGCAGCAACAGATGCAAGAGGCGTAGGGGGGAGAACCGTATAAGCGCTTCGTCTGCAGTCTGCGACTGAAGGGGGCGGGCGAAGGAAGAAGGAGGAACACGAGGAGGAATAACAGAAGGACATCAATCTACACCAACATGCATCGGGGGCGTCCAGGAGGGAGGGGTCAAAAGGGGGGGGTCACAACTCATGGCCTGAGGCACGTGCGCGGTCCAGAGGGGGCAGGAGACACATTGAAGGAAGAGAAGGGGATCATGAGATCTGGGAGGTACCATAGCCCCCGCCATGATATCCACCCCCTTAAGACAAACACGTACACACCATGAATACTACTCTCCTCTCCCCCGGAGAGCACGAGGTCGTAGCCTGCACCCCTCCGCGTGTGGTTGTTTCGTACACAGTGGATCCCCCAAAGGTGGTCGATGATATGTGTTGTTTCCAATTCGAGGGTCTTCGGCGTTTCCAGAAGGCGCTCCCGCAACGGCGTTGGCTCCATGTTTTGGCTCCCGGTCCCTCTAACTCACATTTCCGCTGCAACACTGAACTCATTTCTTTGTGGCCGATCTTCCACACCGTGTTCTCGCTACAGCGTTGGTCCTCATGTTGCGCTTCCGCTCTTTCCGAACCGCCCTTTACATGTTTCGTCTTGCGTTATCTCCGGCGGCGCCTCTCGCACAGCCCGAGGCACGCCTCGCGCGCCGAGGTTAGGAGGCAACTGCTGGGAGGTGCTCGTCGGAACAATTACAGAGGATAAAGCTCCAGCGGGGGGCTGCTAAGCCAAATTGGGCCGCGGACTAGGCAGTAGTAATCCGGATTAAGAAGGATTCAGCCGAATACAGAGGGATTAAACCGAATTAAGCTGAACTTGCCCGGATTTCGGAAAAGGACGAAGTCCGATTCTATTCCCCCAGAAATTGCATCCGACCCAGCAGGTCCAACGCCGATCCAAGAAACCCGCGCGAAGGTCCTAAAGCGTACGGTCCACGCAGTGCCACTCAGAAGGTCCAATAAAAAGCGTCGGGGTTTTCCTGAACATGAGGAGCCTCGGTCACGTCACGAAGGAACAACCCAGCGGTCCTTATTCAGCGCAAGTTAGGAGGCAACTACTGGGAGGTCTTCGTCATAAGGTTTAACACATATATATATATATACATATATATATATATACATATATATAAACAAACAATAAGCGCCATTGGGGGGTGCTACGCTGGACTGGGCCGCGGATTAACCGGGATTGAGCCGGAGCGGGATTAGACGCGAATCACGCCAGCGGGCGGCACGGCGGCGGCGGCGGCGGCGGACGGCGGCGGCGGGCGGCGTGCATCGTACGGGTGCGCGTTCCTCTTCATACTAGCCGCTGTTGCGCACAACCCGCTGTACTCTTCCAGTTCTGCCACCATCGCCTCTCCGGCGCAGTCCACTCTGAAAGGTACACGTGATATTCTGACGGCAGCACCACCTAGCCGCGAGGACTGCTTGATTTGGATTTGGGGAAAACTCGAAGGAATAGGCAGAGGAGGGGGCCGCCCCGTGCGTCCACTGTTGAGCGTGGACCGACCGCCCTGGCATTCCTGTAGGCCTACCACGAAACGTTCGATCTTCGAACCCAAGAATGTTCTCAAAACCCAAAGTATTCTTAGAACATAACCGCGATGTAATACAACAAGGCAGTCCCAGCAAGACATGCTCCTAGAACATTTCGCTCAGACCGCAAAAGGTTCTGAGAACGTCCTGCGGTGGGCCTGCTTCGCCGCTGCTGGACCCTGGGTGGCTACAGCCAGAGGCCACGCGCGGCGGCGCGCGGCGAAAGCGGCGCTGCGGCCCTCACGAGGATCGTGGCCTCCGAGGGGGGGGGCTGCCAACGACTACCTCCCCTCCCGCCCCAAGGGGCCCCCAAGAGCCCCCCAAGAGGCCAAAGGGGGGCCCAATGCGCCGCCGAGGAGCCCCAAGACGCTCCAAAGAAGCCCCCAAGAAGCCCCCAAGACGGCCCCAAGAGGCCCCGAATAGCGCTCCATGGCCGGCGGAATGAGCGAAGCGATTGAATAAAGCAGGGCCAAGACATGTGCAAACAAAAACGCACACAAACACAGAAAACTCGTTCCCCGACTGTGTTTTGGCTGCAGTAGGGGCCCGACCACAAAAAACCTTCCCAAGAAACCCAGCTCTGAGACCCCAGGACGTCCACTAATGTTTGGTGTGGGAACGGCACGCTTCCATCACAACACCATCGAGACCCGAGAAACCCAGGGCACCCTGGAGGCAAACAGGGTGCTTCTTGGCATGGGCCTCCACTGTATTCTGGAATGCGCCTCCTGCAGGCCCGACTCGTGACCCTGGGCGGCCCTGCGGCCACGCAATGGAGCGCAGCGCGAGGAAGAGCCCGGCCGGGTGCTGCCAGGGGTGGCCCCTGGCCCCCGAGGTGGCCCCAAGCCCTTCCCTGGGTGTACCAGTGGCTTCCAGCGCCTCCTCCTCCTCCTCCTCCTGCTCCTCCTCCTCCTCCTCCTCCTCCTCCTCCTCCTCCTCCTCCTCCCCCTCCTCCTCCTCCTCCTAGGGCTGGATCAAGAGAAAACGCCATAAACAGAAACGTGTGCCGTTCCGCGCGGATTTCTTGGATCTGCGATGGACCCCCCTCCCTGGCGCGCAGAACACGCCAGGGGCGGCGCCGGAGGCGCCGCCGGGGGGGGCCCGGCGCAGATCCAAGAAGTCCGCGCGGAGCACCGAAAACTTATGTTTATGCCGTTGATTGTCATTCGGTTCCAAGGCGCCCCTTCGCGAGGCATGGGGGGGAGATCCCGGGAGCTTCAAGACGGCACCTTGAGTCCAGGAGCACTCTCTCTCTCTCTCTCTATTTCCGCCTCCGCCGAGAGAGAGAGAGAGGGGGGCTGCGCTCCCCGGCTCGCCTCTCCACGCTCCGAGACCGGCTGCTTGCCGAGGTAGTCCGCGAGCATCGTGCCGTTAGCAGGGGCGAATATCTCGAACATCGACTCGTTGAGAGCCCGCGCCCGGCTCGCCCAGTCCGGGGCCCCGCACCAGGCGGCCTGGTGCTGCTGGCTGAGTGCCCCCGTGCCGGCGAGCTGCTTGCACAGGCCGCTCAGCATGCTCGCAAAGAAGGTCATCCAGGAGTGCAAATCCAGGTGGCACTCGTCCGAGTTGACCTGCACGGCGGGGACATCTGAGACGGAGTCTCCTGATGATGATCTCTCTCCTTCTCTCTCTCTCTCTCTCTCTCGATTCTCTGTCTAGCTGTGCTGCCACAAACAATCCCCCCATACAGAGAACTGTTCCGACATAACTTGGGGACGGGTGGGGGAGTGGAAGTGGCGAGCACCCCATGGCGGGCCAAGAGGGCCCACGAACTGCCCATAAGAGAGCCCGCAGAGACTCATGGGCACGGCCAAGACGGGCCAAAGACGATCCAAGATGGCCGCAAGACGGAGCAACATGCTGCACGACGGCCCCAGAGGGGACCGAAGAGAGCCCGAGCGTTATTAAAACTTTCGTATGGAACGCAACGTCATTATCACCTGCAAGCAGGAGATTCGGATGCGGCGTTCTCACAGAGCACACCAAGAAAGCTTATAGCTGACCAAAGACAGCTCCAGATCCAACCTCATTGATTAGCAGCCTCGCGACCATCACGACTCACCTGAGAACCAGCACGAGTAACGCAACCTGATGTGTACTATGACACCGTGGGGATCAATCGGATGACAGATGGACCTCACACAGATACGTGTCGACATCTCTCAGACGGTGAGTGCGATTGCCTCATGCGAAAAAAGCATGTGACAAAACTGGTTGACTGCGTCTGCCCACCAGGGCTCCTGGCTTGGCGTTTGATTCCGTCCTACGGCACACAAAGGGTGATTGCTGAAAGGTAAATTTTACTTTGTGGTGCCAATCGCAACGAAATTACTGGCAATGCAACAAACGGGGACCGTACGGAATACAATAGCCACTGGACGGAGGTCAACGTGCGTTCCCCTTTTCGATGCACTGAGGTGTTGCATACCCATGGCAAGTGGGCGGGCCCCGCAATACTGGCGGGAGAACGGCAAAACACCGTGCAGGCAGGCTTCGAAGCTGCGAAGGCTATCGCCAGAAGGACGGGTCCCTAGCCATCCGAAGCCCCAAGAGCGCATTTCACCTCGAGACTGCGCATTCCCTGGACCTGTGCGCGCCCCACGAAGCGAAACCAATGCCGGTCGTCCTCGAGATGTTCCAACGCACTCAGTGGCCCCAGCGCCGAACAATCTCGCATTACATAAATGAGGCGCCTTCTCCTTGCGTCCCAGACGGTTCCATGATATGATGGCGCAGACAAAAGCAAACATAGCCCTTAAGCTGTGCCAACATGACTCTGTAGACACACAAGCCCGCACTGGATTCCATCCACACTCAGAACGCAACGTATTCCATACAGGGCAAGAACAATTCTGGAGCTCTGCGGCGCTTACGAGTTCACATGACGACAATGTTTGAAGTTCTGGGCGACAGTTGCTCTCGCCAGTGCTGAAGGACCACAGCGAGTGATGAGATACGTATTATGTAGCATCACCGTGACGTGGCAATACGCATTTGGGGGAAATTCAACACAAAAACGCGGGTCCTGGAGGGGAACTCATCATCACCATCATCGAATAGCTGCACTTTGAACACCGATTCCATGTAGTGCGTCACAGATTGACCAGGCACCGTCAAAATGATTGGCAGAAGCGTTGCTAATCGCAGATAATCACGACCTCCTGAATCGCCCAAGACAGCCTCGAAAGGCCCCAAGGAAGCCTTACATGGCCCCAGGAAAGCCCCGATAATACCCAAAGAAAGCCCCACGAAGCCTTGAAGAGGCTCCCAGAGATCCTCAGGTTCGCCGTTCTTGGGGGCAGCTCGGGCTGAATTCAGCTTCGATCTGACCATCCAGCGCGAGATTTAGAAAGATGCGTGTACGGTTGACTCAAGGGTCTGATCGGGCTCATCCCGGTCCTCGATTTGACAAGTGCTGTCCCACCCAAAGACCACTGTGCCACTGTATAATACCAGACGCTAGAACCCCCTGCTCATAGCAATTCGCCCGAGAATCGGAAGTGGGAAACGCGAAGCGTCAAAAACATTGCCACCAGGCCTAGAAAAGGCCTTCGAAAGGCTGCAAAAGCAAACCAGATGCCTCCAAAAGCTCCCTAAGAGGACCCTGAGAGACATCGCAAGAGACCATCATATCCATTCTGGAGGCTCTCCCACAATGCTCCCAGCCAGCCCCACGAGCCCACCAGGAGCCGACAAGTAGCTCCCCAGAGCCTCCACCATAGGCCTCCTAAACGCCCTCAAGCAGCCCTGCGGCAAACCCGAACACACGCCCCTGGACCCCTAAATTCCGCCCGTCATCCCTCCGCCTTCCTCCTCACCACCTCCGCTCCTCCTCCTCCTCCACCTCCTCCTCCCCCTTCTGCAACTGCTCCTCCTCCCCCCCTCCTCCTCCTCCACCTCCGCCTCCTCCTCCGCCTCCTCCTCCTCCTCCTCCTCCTTATCCTCATTCGCATGCGCCCCTCGCGGACGGCAGCTCTAACATGGCCTCTGAAACGCCCTGGAAGCCTCTACTCCGCTGGGGGTCGGCGGAATGGCGTAAGCCACTCTTCCACACATTTGTGTGTATATATATATGAGAGAGAGAGAGAGAGAGAGAGAGAGAGAGCGTGATCCACCGCCGCTTTACTGCGGAAAATTGCCAACCTTTTCCTCCGGAACCCGGGGTCTCCCCCCCCCCTCCGAACCCCCCCCCCCCCCCCTGCCGGACCCCCCCCCCCCCCCCCCTTCCCGCAAAAAACCCCCCCCCCCCCCCCCCCCCCCTCTCCCCGAAAACCGGGGGGGGTCACTACCGTTCGAACCCCTCCCCCCCCCCCCTCCGGATCCGGAAAACCGGGGGGGGTCACTACCGGTTGGAACCCCCCCCCCCCTCGAAAACCGGAGGGGGGTCACTACCGGTTCGACCCCCCCCCCACGCACCGCCAGCAAACGACTCCCGGTCCCTACCACCGCTCGCATCACATCCCCCACTGTTGTTCCCAGCACCACTGTCCTCACCACCACTGTCCCCGCTGGTTCCACCACCGTCCCTATTGTCCCCACCAATGCCCCCACCACTGTCGCACTGTCCCCACTGTTCCCACAACTGTTCCCACCACGGTTCCACTCTCCCCACTGTCTCCACGGACCCAACCACTGCCTATCCCCACTGTCCCCACTGTCCCACTGACTCCTCCGCTGTCCCACTGAGCTGTCCCACTGTTCCCACCACTGTCCCCACTGTCCCCACCACTGTCCCCACTGTACCTCTGTCCCATTGTCCCACCGCCGTCCTCGCCACCGCCTTTACCAGTGTCCCCACCACCATTGTACCCTCCACTGTCCCAGTGTTTCCACCTCATTCCCACTGTCCCCACACCACTGTCCCCACCACCACCGTTCCCACCACTGTCCACTGTCCCCCCTGTTCCCACCATTGTCCCCACCACTGTCCCCACCACTACCGTCCCCACCACTGTCCCACTGTCCCCCCACTGTCCCCACCACTGTCCCGCTGTCCCCTCACCACTGTCCCCACCAACACCGTCCCCACCACTGTCCGCACCCCCACTCGGTTTTCGAGGGGGGGGGGGGGTTCGAACCGGTAGTGACCCCCCCCCCTTTTCATGATGAGCTGGGGGGGGGGGGGTTCGAACCGGTAGTGACCCCCCGGTTTTCCGGAGGGGGGGGGGGGAGGGGTTCGAACCGGTAGTGACCCCCCCCGGTTTTCCGCCAGCAGCGGTAGAACACGCTCTTTCATATATATATATATATATATATATATATATATATATATATATATATCCGCCGGCCCCCTTGTGGGGCCACCAGGCTGCGAGGCGCGTGATTCGCAGTTTCCTGTACCAGTTGTAGTTTGTAGTTTCCAGTGTTACAGTTCTGCTTCTTGCTGGTTACTGTAACTAGTTGACTTCTTGCTGGTTACTGTAACTAATTGATTGACCGCGCGAGGGGGGGGGAAGGCCCAAACGGGATTTTTAGCGTCTCCTGGGCGCGTTGTCTGAATTGCTGGGGGGGCTCGAAATCGACACCCCTCACGCAGATCCGCGGGGTCAGGGTCCAAAAGCACATGGGATTTGCCACATTTCTGAAATTCGGTGCCACCCCTCACGCAGATCCGCGGGGTCAGGGTCCAAAAACACAGGGGATTTGCCACATTTCTGAAATTCGGTGCCACCCCTCACGCAGATCCGCGGGGTCAGGGTCCAAAAACACAGGGATTTGCCACATTTCTGAAATTCGGTGCCACCCCTCACGCAGATCCGCGGGGTCAGGGTCCAAAAACACAGGGGATTTGCCACATTTCTGAAATTCGGTGCCACCCCTCACGCAGATCCGCGGGGTCAGGGTCCAAAAACACAGGGGATTTGCCACATTTCTGAAATTCGGTGCCACCCCTCACGCAGATCCGCGGGGTCAGGGTCCAAAAACACAGGGGATTTGCCACATTTCTGAAATTCGGTGCCACCCCTCACGCAGATCCGCGGGGTCAGGGTCCAAAAACACAGGGGATTCGCCAAATTTCTGAAATTCGGCGCTACCCCTTACGCAGATCCGCGGGGTCAGGGTCCAACAACATGGGGGATTTGCTACATTTCTGAAATTCGGTGCCACCCTTCACGCACATCCATCGCAAGGCGTGGTAACCCAAACTGCGAGAACTCCCTCGGCCCTTTAATCGCAAGGTGTGGTAACCAAGCCCGTAAACCATACACGTCTTACCAATCGCCAGGTGTGGTAACCCCTCTTGTGATCAGTTGGTTTTGCTGATTGCGAATCGGCTTCGCATGAAGTTTCGATACTGCTTCACGACAGCGCCAAGACCTCATGACTTAGCTCTTCCATGGCCCATTCTCCGAGGGAGGGGGCCGGCGGCAGGGGGCGAAGCCCTTACGGATATATTATACACAGATGTTGAAGAAAGGAGGAAAACAAAAAAACGAGCAAACAAAAAGATGCTGGCGTACCCGAGACACGTGGGCCACAAAAACACCGTGGGCCAAAACGGCAAGACGTTCTTCAATCTGTGTTCTCCCGCCGGATCCTGCGGAGCCCAATACCATGGTTCCCTATGGGCTCCAATAGTCTGATCATCTTCGCTGCTCCTAGCCATATTCCCAGACCCCGCGGGCGCGGAACGCTATGTCAACAGGCCCCTCCCCCCCCTCCCTGGCGACGCCCGTCACACTTTTTTTTGCGTCGGCGGCTGGGTAGAGGTCGACTGCTCCGGCGGAATGGCAACAGGGGACGCGCTGTATGCAAATAAAGGCCGCGATGCACGGGAGGAGGAGGGGGAGCCCCGGCGCGACGGGGGGGGGAGGAAGCCGGGCCACTCAGAGCTGCCGGCGGCGGCAGGGGACAGCGCCAGGGGGGGGGGTAGCGCCGGCAAAGGCTGTGCTAAACACACACACACACACTCGCGCGCGCGGGCCCCGGAGAGGCCCCGGCCCTCCCTGGGCGGGGAGGGGGGGGCCGCCCCACATCCTTCGGTGAGGATGGCCCTGGGGGCCTGGCAGCGGCGGGGGCACAGTGAGACAGACGCCGGGATTGACAAAGCCACCTCGTCGGAGCTCCCGGCACGCCAGGAGTGCCAGGCTCAGGCCGGGCGTGTCCTCCTGCAGGAGGGTGTTGGGAGGAGAAATGCAAGATAGCCAAAAACAAAGCAACAATAGTCAGACAATGTTAACCGTTGTCTCCAGACAATGGTTGACCATTTTTGAGTATCCCTCCTGTAGAGGGACAGGTCCCACTTACAATGCTGGGCGGGCGCTGATCCATGACCACCACCAGGGGGAGCGATCGTCGGCGACGCTGCAGGCAGTGGACAAAGGGATCTCTCTGGTCCCCCAAGGCCCGAGCACATATCCGTGTGCACCGCCTGCCGCGCGCCCCCAGAAAGATCGATCCCCCAGGCGCTGGTCATGGACAAGTCCCCGCCTGCCAGGGGGAGCGCACTTGAGTCTATTGTATTCCCATCGTACTCAAGGACCACATCCCAGAAATAGCTTCGAGCACCCAGAGAAAGGTATCGAAACAGCGTCGAGCGAGTATCGCCTCCCGGGGCCCGACGCGTGAAAACCCTCCACTTTCGGTACTGCCTTGGAGCTCGAATTTTGTTCCGGTGGTCAAGGCTAAAGCAGGTTATAACATCATACATGTAAGCAGGAGTAGCGGGACTGGCGCGAATGCGTCCTCAGGGAGAGGTGAAAAGGTACTTGCAAGAGAGCAATAGTGGGAGCTTGAATGCAGTAGTTTGCGCGCTGATTGCATTAGCTGCGCGCGGATGCACTTGTGTCGCCCGTGCGATGGGTCGCGTCCCCCCGCAATAGTCACGTACTATTACACGCAGTGGCACACAACTAGCGAACGATTGCACCCCTTGCCGCGGACTCGTCTGTGCCAGACACACGACTCCAGCTTCAATGTCCCGCCTGGCCTTCAATGGCCCCCCCTGGCAGGCGGGGAACTATCCAGGACCACCGCCACGGGAATCGATCTTCGGCGACCCTGTAGGCAGTGGGAGTGGATATATTTGACCCCCTTGGGCATGACTACTCCAGGCCAGAGGTACACAAACGGACCCCCTGGGGACACCGAAAGGTACTGATATCGCCACTCCCCAGACTTATCCTGGTGTGTGGTTTGACCAAAATTTCAAGGCGAATCCAGTCGTCGCGACGAGGACCTCCCAGGAGGCCCAAAAAAGGGAGAACCAGGAAAGGGTAGAACTAGATCGGGCATGTCCCCCTACAGGCGGATTTTAGACGAACAAAAACATAGCTTGTTTGTTCAATAAAAAACAAGTGAGAAATGAGCACCAAAATACTCCCAAGACGATTTTTGAATTATTTTTGGATATTCCTCCTGTAGAGGGACGTGCCCGACTGAAGGGTAGAGGTATGGATACCTGTTCCTCCTCTGAGAAGGGGGGTGGCGGGGGCAGACCCTGGACGATGCACGCCCCAGCGCCAGGTTGGGAAGCTGGGGCGTCTGCAGGGCTCCACTCGAGGAAGATCGGGGAGGAGGACCCGAGCATCGAGGAGGAGGAGGGTCGAGGAGGAGGAGGAGCGGGGATCGAGCATGGGGGATCGGGGAGGAGAAACGAGGCAAGGGCAATGGGTGGGGGCACCCTCGTCCTCCTCTGACCCCCAGGCGACATCCCCACCCCTGCAGCGACCAGCAGCCCGCGCGGGTAGTCGTCCAGGCCGCTGGCGAGGCAGTGCGCCGCGGTCCGGCCGGCCCAGCGGAAGCCGCCAGGGCGGGCGGAGGCCTCTCAGGCCAGACCACCCCGACACAACTCGAAGACCCGAACTTCGGGTGTGTGTGGGGGGGGGTACGGGCTGCGCATATGTATATATATATATATATATACACCTCTAGATATACAATTGTGTATATATGTGTGTGTGTGTCTATACATATATATATATATATATATACAAATGTGTATATATATATATATATCTATATATATGTGTCTATAAATATACATATATCAGAGTGAGGGGGCCGAGCAGTCATTCAGTGTCCCTGGGTGCGTGGCTGAAGTGGGAATCCACGGCGAGGATTCCGCTTGATTTGTTGCGTCGTCCCCCCGCGACCCACCCGCGACCCACCCGCGACCCGCCCGCGACCCGCCCCGCGACCCGCCCGCGATCCATCAACGACCCGTCCGCGACCCACCCGCGATCCACCCGCGAACCGTCCGCGACCCACCCGCGACCCACCCCGCGACCCACCCCGCGACCCACCCTGCGACCCACCCCGCGACCCACCCGCGACCCACCCCGCGACCCACTCACATTGATTTAGCGAAAACCGGCGCCTGCGGCGGGCTCGTTGTATACTTCGTAAAATTAAGCGCCTGCGGCGGGATTCTTCAGAGCCTCGCAGACTGCAGACGTCCCCGCCGCCCCCTCACTCTCATCCGCGACTGCGGGGTGCTACGAATACCCCTCCACCCCCACTGAAGTTGAGGGCAAACCGGAGCCTTCGGGTTGGGTTGGGGTGGTTTTGGTGGGCGGCGAGCACTCGGGGGGTCAGAGGAGGAGGAGGAGGAGGAGGAGGAGGAGGAGGAGGAGGAGGAGGAGGAGGAGGAGGAGGAGGAGCCCAGGTGCTGTTTTTGAGCCCAACGCCCCGCACCTCCTGAGTGCATCGAGCAAGAGTGGCGACTGCCATTGGTGGGAAGTGCAGCCGCCCTGAGCAAAGCCTGGTCAGGCTCGTCGTCTGACCTGGCCCCTAAACCTATGGCATGAGGAGGAGGAGGAGGAGGAGGAGGAGGAGAAGGAGGAGGAAGAGGAGGGGGAGGAGGAGCAGGAGGAGGACGAGGAGGAACCCGGGCTGGAGCAGGAGGAGGAGGAGGAGGAAGAAAGGGAGTTTAACACGCGTGCTTGGGCGTGCGCATGCGTGCCAGGGGTCTCGGCGAGGAGCAGGAGAAGGAGGGAGGAACGGAGGTGAAATGGAGGAGGAGGGAGGGATGGAGGAGGAATGGAGCAGGGCAGGGCGACGCAGGCGGTGAGGGTGTGGGTGCGACATGTCGAAGCCCGAGGGAAGCTCCCGTTCGAGCGGGGGGGCCCATCCGACAACACACTCACACACACGGTATGTTCGCGCGGCGTCGGCGCGCGCAAAGGATTTTGACACCGCGTCGATCGTTCAACCTTGAACCGATGGCGGCCATCGGTTCGTTCAAAGCTGAATTCCGTCGGGCCCGATGGCGTCACCGCATCCGCCGGTGCTTCCGCGTCGCAGAATTCGACATTGAACGCCTCTGACGTCGCCAGCGCCTCGTGGGCTTACAGTAGCTCCCCTGCAGACACAAATCCACCCCGAGACATCTTCGGGTCGGGAAGGTAATTATGGCATCAACTCCAGGGGGGAGGAACTGGAAGAAGAAAAACACGCCATAAGCATAAACGGATTTCTTGGATCCGCGCCGGACCCCCCTCGCTGGCGCGCCAGGGGCGGCGCCGGAGGCGCCGTCGGGGGGGCGCAGCGCGGATCCAAACAATCCGCGCGGAACGCTGCAAAATTATGTTCATGGCTTGTTTTTCTTCTTCGAGGAACGCCGGGCTGGAATCGGCCACGCATCGCCGACAGATCGGCAAGATAGGCTCCCAATGCTGACCGAATCCCCACGCCCCTGGACGAGGCGGGCTCTCTCTCTCTCTCTCCGGCCTATCGGTGATCCGCAGGCGACTGGGGGTCGATGCAGCCCCCCCCCCGCTGAAGCTATCTGCTGGCAAACTCTCCACCACCGCCACCATCTGTAGGACGGGGGAGAAGGTAGGATGAGGAGGTCCTCCTCCTCCTCCTCCTCCTCCTCCTCCTCCTCCTCCTCCTCCTCCTCCTCCTCCTGCTCCTCCTCCTGCTCCTCCTCCTCCTTCTCCTCCTCCTCCTGCTCCTCCTGCTCCTCCTCCTCCTCCTCCTCCTCCTCCTCCTCCTCCTCCCTCCTCCTCCTCCTGCTCCTCCTCCTCCTCCTCCTCCTCCTCCTGCTCCTCCTCCTGCTCCTCCTGCTCCTCCTGCTCCTCCTCCTGCTCCTCCTCCTCATCCTCCTCCTGCTCCTGCTCCTGCCTCCTCCTGTTCCCTCTCCTACCTCTCATACCTGATAGCGGTAGTGGAAAATGGGCCCACCACTATCCCCGTCCCAAAGGGCTGTCGAGGCATAACTCAAGCCTCCAGCGGCCGTTTGGGACGGGGCGCAGCTGATGGAAACCGCCCGCTGGCCCGCAGCTTCCGGAGCCCGCCCAGCACAGAAAACTGCCGGAGACCACAGAGAAACCTCCGAGCCTCGACCCTCGAGGCCCCCGTCGTGCGGGCAGTACTTATATCCATATCCAGAGCGTCGTGGACTTTTTGGGAAGAGGTGCCGCAACGCCGAGGCGCACTGGATATGGATAAAAGCAAGCCTCTTGGGGCCAGATTTCTATCCGCATCCAGTGCGTCTACGGTTTCTGGGGAAGAGAGCCCAAGAATCCAAGACGCACTGGATGTGGATATAACTATTGCCCGCACGTCGCCCCCCGGCCGCCCCCCTGGCCACCCCATTGCCCCCCCCTCCCGCACGGCGCCGCCCGCGGGCCTGGGTGCGCGACAGGAAGGCGAACCACCTCGCGAGCCGGGGCAGCGCCCGCCCCACGAAGGACAGCACCTCGCGAGGGGGGCGCCGAGCCGCGGGAGGAGGAGCGGGGCCGCGCAGGGCATCTCGGGGGGGCCCAGGCGCCCCAGGACTGTCTGCTCCTGGACTCGGCGCGTGTGCCGCGCAGATGGCGTGCCGCCAGCACGGCCCTCGGTGGCGCCTCCGAGGCAGGCAGGTGGCTGCGGAGGTGGGGCAGCGCTGCCGCTGCAGACCCGCCTCTCCCGCCCGTGCCAAGACTGCGTGCGCAGCTGTCTTGCCGGGAACGGAGTGCAAGTCGACTCTCACAGAAGGCAGGCAGGGCACGAGGCCGGGAGTGCACATCGGCGCAGACTGGGACGCAGAAGGACCTCCTAGCACTGCAGTCCACCCTGTCAGTAAGGATGCGCCGTGGGGACGCAAGTCCCTTCGACGCCCAGGTTCAAGCGTTTCGAGAGGGACTGGCCGTCGAAAGCGGTGAAGGTGGAGAGAAGAGGCAAGAATGCGAGGGTACCCTTGGGAAGGCTACCCATCCCCATCATCGGTTTCGACTACATGTGTCCTCCGTAGAGGCGTGCGTGCGACCACCGATACGACAACCCTTCGTCGTCGACGGCCCTGGGGACCTCACGGGTCGTTCCAGCTCGAGGAGGTGCCGCAGGAGGATCGGGTTGGGTGGGACGCAGAAGGACACGCTGGTACTGGTACAATGTGTCCTCCTCGGTCGCGTGCGTCCGCTCGAACATGTTGTGCAGACATCTTCTGGTATGTATGTCTATATCTATATGTATGTATTTGAACGTTTTCTTATTCGGCGTTTCGACATGAGGCGCAAGGGGGGAGGGGGGGGGGTCTGGATCTGGACCTCTGCTCAGTGTGGCTGTCTGCAGCAGTGCGCCCATGATAGGGGAGGCTCCACCTGCTTGAAACGGGCGCCAAAAACACCCGAGATCTACCCCATGGGGGGGTGGGGCGAGGGCCCGCGCCGATCGGCAAAACAACGACTGGATATATGCATAAAAATAATTTCCCCAGCGGTATGGCCAGAAGGCGCCCGCCACGGAGCTTCTACTGTGAGATGTCCGAGGGTGCGCCTCGCCCCCGGCAGGGCGACGCACGCACAACACAAGCACGTCGGGGTGGCGCCGACGAGAGGCGGAAGAGCACGCGCAGGGGAGGGGGGCAGGGCGAAGGACGGGGAGGCCGAAGGGCCGAGCGTGACCCCGCAGTGCTGACCTCGGGGCCGAGTTCCGAGATGAAGGAGCCAACAGTCATCGGCCTGACCTAAGGAACGAGACATACGGAACGAAGCCCCGTTTTTGTTCCAAGTAAGTCCACGAAGTCCGAAGGAATGGCCGAGCCCCTCATCGACAAAACGAACCCGCGCGTCCAAAATCTGACAGAACACCAGGGGTGCTCGCCGCCAATAAGGTAGCAGAACGCATGCAAACCAAAGGAACGACCGAGACCTTTTTTGAAAAGTAAGTGTCGCTTATTTAAGCCGCTCGCTGTATGCTTAAGAGCGAAGCCAGGGCTCTTAGAGGGAGCCACTCGCAGCAGCGAAGGGAAAACTGAAGAAAACGTACCCCCCACCTGGTGGACTTTCAGTCAATCTAGCACCATCTTCCGTAGCGCATCGACCGATGGCACCCCGGCATTCTCTGCCAGCTGGAGGAGGTCCTTACTGTCGTCCGGCGCCGAGGACGCGATCCTGGCAGGACACAAAGTCGGCATCGACACCAAGAGATCCCTTCATGTTGAAGCGAGACTGTTTGAGCCACGGGATCTTGGTGCTGGTGCCGACTTCGGGAGGACCCGAGATCCTGGTGAGCCACGCCAGCGGCAGCAGAAGACTGGGCGGGTTGGCCACCTCCGGGTCCTGTGGCAGGAACTGGAACGGCACCCTCGACTCCTGCTCGGCGCCCAGCGGCACCTCTCGGGGTATCCAGCCGGACTCCCTCTGGAGGCCGAGCCAGTGGCCGAGGATGTCGAGGAAGACTCGAGGCTGCCACCTCACCACCAGCAGGCCGTGGAAGCCTTCGTCCCACAGGAAGCCGCGGGGGAAGAAACTGCGGGAGGGCACCGTGCTGAACAGCGTGGCCGCCGGCGCGCGCTCGAGACTGTCCTCGCCATCGTCTCCGCCGCCCTCCCCCTTGACGAGCAGACGACCGTGGAAGTAGCCCAGGCCACCCAGCAGATTTGCCAAGCCCGCATGCGCGACTTCTCTGTGCCTCGCGTCCGCGAAGGGGGCGGCCAGGGGGAATACGTCCTCAAACTTCTTTCGGAAGCCAAGCGACGCTTGATCGGCGAGCGATGTCAACCGCTTCTGGAGAGCAGAGTCATCCATGTCTTCTGCACCGTCAAAATCGACGTGCGTGTCCACCTGGAAATCCCCGGTGGGCTTGAAGACAAACTGCAGTGCAAGCCAGTTCGAGTCGTCCGTGGGTGCTTCGTTCGGGAGCACCGCCGACGATCTCTGGCTCGTCTTCAGATACTTCTTGAGATGCTTGTTGGCGTTCCACACTCCGTCCTGAGCTTGCTGGGTGGTGTCCTGGGACTCTCCCGGCACCTTGGCGGCTACAAATCGAAGCTTCGGCGACGACGTGGTGCCAGCTGCATTCTTGAACCGTGCCCCGACGAGACCCCTGAAAGATCCCAGCGTGCCATCGATGCCAGAGAAGCGACTCGCGGTCGTGTTGATGCCAAGCTCCTCGTCGACCTTCCAGTCGTCGTGGCCGGTGCTGGAAAAAGAGACCCTGCCTGCGAGGGACACGATAGGGGGGGACTGGCATTGGGGGGGACACATCGGCAGTGAATCGACGATACATCGACGATAGATCGGCGATAAGCTCTCGATAGTGAATCCGCACGTTCCTGGGCAGGTTGGGGCTATCGGGCTCCTTTGGGCGATCAATGGGCGATTAGTGGCCGACGCATCCACCCCTATGCCTCTCCCCCCCTATCGTCGCCCCTGACCTTTGGCCGTCTCGACGCCCAGATACAGGAACAGAGACACCTGCTTGACCTTGGAGGCATTCTTGACTGGCTCCAGCAAGCTCACAGTCACGCGGGTGTGCCAGGCTCGGAGGGGGCGGTCCGGATCCTTGACAAAAACAGTCTCCAGGCGCAAGTTCAGCTTGTCGTCGTCGACTACCTGAGGCAGGCCGGAAGCCACCATCGGGGCACCCAGCCGTCGGGTGTTGCTAGAAAGTGCCCCTGGCCCAGGGTGCCCCCAGGATTTCCAGGGAGGCCCCCACGGCCTCCAGAGCACCCCTCACGAGGCCCAGAGGGCCCCAGTGGCTCCAACATGGAGCGAAAATAGATAAAGAGAACACGCCACAAACAGAAGCTCTTGGCGCTCCGCGCGGATGTCTTGGATCTGCGCCGGACCCCCTCCCTGGCGCGCGGAGCGCGCAAGTGGCGGCGCTGGAAGCGCCGCCCGGGGGCCCCAGCGCGGATCCAAGAAATCCGCGCGGAGCAGCACCGACTCTGCGCGGGCAAGCCGCTCGACACGTTTCTCGCCGGCGCGGGCAGACCGAAGCGCCCTGGCCCAACCCCGGGCGGCGGATCCCCCCTGGCCTCTCGGGGCCCTGCGAACGAGGGCGCCCGTGCAGCGGACACGCATAAAATGAGAGGGTATACATTCCGCCCCCGAGAGGCTCCCAGGAGGCACGAAGAGGCCCCCAAGAGGACCCAAAGAGGCCCAAGGGACTCCCAAGACACCCACAGGAATCCCCAAGAGGCCTCCAAGCGGCTCCTAAAGTCGGGGGCGCGCAAACATGGATTGGCGATCCATGGATTTGGAACGCGATCGCCAAATCCATGGATCGGGGGAGGTACCCTCCCCAGAATGCGGCCGGTGCCGCCTCGTTCGGCGGCGGAGATCCGCGATTTCCCATGGAAACGATGCCCGTCGCTAATCCACGCCCCCTTGATCCATGTTTGCGATCGCCTGATAAAGGGTCCTCCTCCTCCTCCTCCTCCTCCTCCTCCTCCTCCTCCTCCTCCTCCTCCTCCTCCTCCTCCTCCTCCTCCTCCTCCTCCTCCTCACTGGGTGCTGGCCAGAAGGCCTTCGCCATAGGAGTGCACCCCTTCTGCCAATCCGCCACTGCGTTCGGTGCCCCACGTGCCCTCTGCAGGGACATCGGGGGGCCAGGAGACTTTGGATGGGACACCTGGAGGGGGGAGGTCCGACGACCCCCGCTCGCCAGGGGCGAGGAGGCGTGCGAGATGATTGCCTGCCCCCGTCCCCCCCGTCCACCTCCCCCAAAAGTCTCGCTTCGAATCTCGTTTGTGGGGTGGGGGGGATTGGCCCCCCCCCCCCCCCAAGATCGTGTTCAAAATCTCGTTTTGGAAGGGATCCGCTCCCCCAAAAAATCTCGTTGAAAGGAGGGGAGGGGCGGGAGGCGGGGTATCCAGCCTCGCTGGCGCACCCATGGAGACTCCGGAGCGTTCGAAATCTGACTTCCGTGGCCTCAGAGACGTTCCAAAAAGGTCCCGAATCGCGGAACGATTGGCCCAAGACGCCTGCAAGGGCTCCAAGACGCCCCAAGACGCCATCGAGACGTCAGAAGAGCCTTCCCACGAGCGCATCGAGAGGCCAGAGTCTGTGGTTTCCCATAGGATGTTCATTGTTTCTGGGGTTGTCGTCTCCTCGAGCTTCCGACGCTCCAAGACGGCCCAGGCCAAGACGGCCCAAAAAGAGGTGCCCAAGACGGCCCCACGAGGGGCCCAAGACGGCCAAAGATCGGCCCCAGAGGGCCCCAGGAGAGGCAAAGAGGAAGAACGCGAAACGAACATCCTTCCCCCCCAAGATGATTAAGCCCCAGGGGGCCCACAAGAGGCGGCCCAAAAGAGGGCCCAAAAAACGGCCCCAGCGACGCTTCACAGCTGCCTCCGAGAGGCTGCGCCAGGCCCCCAGACAGCTCCCAAGCCGTCCACGAGAGAATCCCTAGAGGAATGCCCAGGAAGCACGACGCCTCGACCGTGGACCCCCCGCCTCTTCTGGGGATCGGCGGAATGGCGTAAGCCTTTTGAGTAGAGTAGGGAAGCAAAGAGCTTCGCTCTAGGCTCAGGTCGGGCATGTCCTCCTACAGGCGGATTCGGAACAACAAAAAAAACCTGGCGAAGGACCCAACCATATGCAGTTGTGCGTGCCGCACTTGTGAGTACCGTCGGACCTATTGAGGGGTGCGCCGACATGAGGGTGGAACTGCATGCAAACGCTGCCACTCGGGCCTTTTTTTAGGTGTAGCCAAGCTCACGCGGCGCGAGCTCACGTTCGAACAGCTGCCGAGGGGCAGCTGTCGGCGGCAGGCGACAGCCTCGGGAAGCCGAGCAGCAAAGGAAACGAGCTAGCCAAAGGGCCAGCCCGCTGCTGCCAAGCTAGATCCGTCAGCCTGCCTTCGCCATCGGGCGCGCCCCCTTCGGCGGCAGCCCTTGCCTGATATTCGCGACCTTCTCGAGGCGGTGCTGCAGGCCTCGGGCGGTCTCGGGTAATTTGCATTCGGCAGACAAGCCCCTATGCTTGCCGCCTATCACGCGGGCGTGGCAGTGGCAGCGCGTGCACACGCGATACCCATTGACTGTGCACAGCACGTGCTCGCCGCCGTCTACCCCTGGCACCCCTGTGCCAGCAGTCGCAGAGGCCGAGGCAGCGAGGGGCCCCGAGGGTGCAGGCGGACCAGCGGTGGCACGTGTCACTGGGTCGGCCTCGGCGCCAAGCGAGTCCGCCCCCGCGCTGCCACCAGCTCCACCAGTGGGCCCAGTCGGGCCGCTGCCGCGCCGTGCGCTGACCGCGGGCTCGGCAGACGGCGCGGGAGCAGTCTCAAAGACAGGCGAAGCGGCACTCGATGGGCAAGCGTCGACGCCAACGGAGAGTGCCCCGTCTGCTCGGTCGGCCTCACTCGCGGTCCCGCTCACACAGGAGCCAGTCGCAGCAGCTAGCAGGAAATCGACTTTGTCCTGAAACGCCAGGCGAACCTTGGCCCTGGGCTCGCCGCTGCATGCGATGGGGCCTCGGGCTCCCCCCACAGGGCTGCGGGTCCGAGAACGGCGCCCCGATGGGGGCGGCTGTGCGTCCTGCTCGCCAGCCTCGCTGGCCGCCAGCGCAGCAAAGGCCGCGGCTGCTGCGGCCGCCGTCGCCAGCGCCGCTCGGGCAGGCCTCTTCCTCACAGAGCCTCCTGAGTGAAAGGGCGCGCACGGCTTAGCCGCGCACGGGTTGGCCCAGAAGTGGGCCTTGATGTTGGCGCTGTAGGCGGTCCTCAAGCAGCGCAGGCAGTGGATGCCTCCGTTGGGACCTCGACGACCTCTTGGCCCGTGAGGTGGGCGAGGATATTGCCATCCCGCTTGGCCGCCGTCTCATCAGAAACATCTGCACGGGCATCAGCCGCCTGGCCCCCAGCAACCGCGACCCAGAAGAACGCCGCATCAAGCATGGTCTGCCTCGCACGAATCACCTGCCTGATCTCGTCGGTGGCCCCCGTGCGGTTGGCGATGAACTTGGCACACCGATCAGCTTCAATGTTGCCTCGATTCGCCCTGGCTGTGACCAGCCCATCCTGCACGTGCTGCACCGAGGCGTGGGCCTTGACCTTTACAACCCTCAGGCCGCCGTCGCCGAGCCCTCCGAAGTCCTGAATCGCGTGCCATACACGGACCCAGATCTCGGCCCATGCTGACTTGCTGCTCGTAGTGACCTTCGGCCCGCGAGCGTTGATCCCGTCCACCACAAATGCTGCGTCAAAATGAGCCGTCACTGGTGGTGGACTGAACTTGGGGAGCAGGAGGAGCGCCAGCAACTCGCCCCCGTCGATGGACTGCAGTGGCCCCGCCAGTGGCGAGGCGAGGGCTCGCGTGGCTGACCCTGGCCCTGGGCCCACGCTGTCGCCACTTGATGGAAGGGCCACCACCGCATAACCAACACAGGCGATCTGGCCCCCCCCCCGTCGATAAAGGCGCCGTCGGCGTACAAGTCGGGCACAGCTAACGGCATGCCCTCCTCGTAGCCCCTGACCCACTGCGCATGTGCAAGGAGGTCGTCGCCAGGCGGTGCCCACCCTGCGCGCGGCTCGGGTAGCCACAGCCGCTCGAACAGCGTCCTGATCGTAGTGGAGTCGCCCATGCCCTTGAAGCGCTCCAGCCCCATCGGCAGCGAGAGGTTGGGCCATGCATCCTGGCACTCCATGCGTCGATGCCGCAGCGTGCCTAGCTTGCCAGGGCACAGCGAGCATACCGAGCACGAGCTGAGGCCTGCAGCACAGCGTCTCTCATTTAGCCACTGACCGTCAACCAGGCACGATCTGGGGGTCAAAGTCCTCCAGCTCCGCGCCACCTTGGTCGAACCCCTCCCCGAATTGATCCACCGTCGGGCTTGCGGCAAGAAGACTCCCCTAGCTTCGAAAATCCCGTAGTGCGTGGGCTTTGCCAGTTGCGCCGGCGGCCAGTGCTCGACGGACCTGGTGACGATCTGCCTCACCGCCCACGGCGAGTGAACTGCCAAATTGAGCTTCTCGCCAGCCTCGGAGACCCAATCAGTGAAGGCGGACAGCGTGAAGCCGATCCTCTGCAGCGACTTGACCGCGGCTCCGATCGGTCCTCGCACGTCGGACCAGTTCTTGGCCACCTTCACGTGCCACTCGAAGGTGGACCTGAGCATCGACGTCGGGATCCACTGCTCTCAGACTGCCCGAGCCAGCATCATCACGGGCCCAAGCGCGGCGGCGAAAATGGGGTCCAGGGTCCTGGCCCCTGAGAGCATCAGCACTGCAGTGGCGCTCTTGCCTGCTGATCGGGCTTCCACGGCTCTGACAGTGATGGACCCCATCTTGGACAGCTCGCTCTCGTTGAGGCCCGTGCAGTTGACGCCGTAGAGGGCCGAAGGGTGCAAGCCAGCGCAGGCAACCTTGGCAGCCGCGGCGCGCCCTTTCCTTAGCCCAAGAGAACTGCGCACCTTTACCCATGCGCAACTCGACATTGGCGAACCGCTGCTGCCGAATCGCCCTAGCTGCTCGTCGCCCTTCAGCATGATCGATACCGAGGTTCCGCGCGTGGTGCGCCCCAAGCACCCCCGCAACCTTGAGCAGCCGCCTGGAGATATTGCTGCGGACCCCAGTGGAGTTGCCCAGGACCCTGGACTCCTTGACGGCGATCTTGAGCTTCACCTGCATCAAGTGTTGCACGAGGCGCCGTGTGGCACCTACCAGGTCATCCTGCACTCTCTCACCGCTGCCCCAGCGCTGCAGCACCAGGTCGTCGACCACGATCGCTGGCGCGACAGCCCCGAACTTTGCGACCATCTCGTCCACGGGGTGCAGCAACATGAGCTTCATGAAGCCCGTGGCGAACGCATCCCCTGCGAGCACCGTCTGGTATACCTGCAGCTCCTGCGAGCAGCACCCGTCTAAGTGCAGGACCCGCGGCGCGCGATACAGCGAAACCTGCAACTTGGCCAGCCACAGCGGGAACCCGTACTTGGTGGCCGCTTGCGCCAGGCTCTGATGAGAGACTTGCCCGAACGCCTTCCACAGGTCGAGCAGCATGCTGGCAGAGCCCCAGTCCTGGTCGGGATGCAGCTCCGCCATCATCGCGACCCACTCGAAGCTCGTCTGCTGCTGGCACACCGCTCTGTCGCAAGCGCGACCCGAACAAGCCCACCAGTAAGGCCTGTCATTGTCCTTCTCCCACTTTTGCATGAGGGGCCTCCTGAGCCTTCCGTGCACACGTATCACCGCAGCCAGAAGGGCAATGGGACGAAGGCCCCCGTCTGCCTTGGGAATGAATACCATTTTTGCGATGAAAGAGCTGGGCCAGTCGGCCTTCGCCTCGATGGCCATGATGAGATCAATGAGCGCCTCGATGCCTTGGTCGTCCATGAGATTGAACTCACTAGGCCGTAAGTTGTCGAAATTGGACCCAGACTGGGGCCTGAAAGACGAGATCACATTCCGCAGCTCAGCGACTGAAGGTATGTCAGGGCGCTCTCCGAGATCTTGCGGCCATGCGATGTGGTGCCTCGCAGGCTCTTGCTCGCGCGGTGCCGCCACATCCCAGTAACCCGACCACTCGTCCACTAGCGTTTGCAAGCTTTGCTGGATGGTGGACGGCGGCTCGCCGTCTGGCTTGGCGGGCTTCGCGTTCCAGCTCTGCGCCATCTTGGTGACCGCGTGGATGCCGCCCGTGCCCGTGGCCGCTGAGTGCAGAACCCACTCGTTGTAGTTCTGGGAGGCCTGGTCCATGTCAGCCTTGACCATCTTCTCCGACCAGCTGAAGCAAGCCGCACTAAGAACGTCCAGTTGCGAGAGGGGGTAGCTGCTGGCCCCCGTGCCAATCACGTGAATGGCGCGCTGCAACTCGCTGAGCTCGGACGGGGGCCTGCTGACCAGCTTGCGCAAGGCGCGGAGCGCGCCCAGCCTAGTGAGCGGGCGCTCGATCTGCACAGCATCCCTGAGGCAGATGGCGATCGCCCTGCACCACGTCGATGCACGCCTGACCCTTGGCAGTCTCGGCGGCGACGGTGCCGTAGCCGAAGTACTCACAGGCCAGGGTCGCTGCCCTCGGCCTGCGTACCTGTCGTGCTCATGGAGGAGCCCGCACGCGTCGATCATGTTGCTCTCCGCCTGGCCGGTGAAGATGCGCCACATGCGGCCCACGTCGTTGGCGTTGGCGATCTTCCCCCGCACCTCTTCCCAGGCAGGTGCGCGGTCCCGCGAGCAGCACGCTAGCGGCTTGGCCAGCGGCAGCTGCTTCGCAGCGCGCATGACCGCGATGTCCTGGTGCCTGCTGGGCCCGAGCAGCTCGAGCGCGACAGGGCAGCGCGGGCTGAGGTCGAGCTCGTGCACGACGCTGGCCTTGGCCCCCCGAAAGCACCTGGAGACCACGAAGTAGTCAATGATCCTGCCTGCTGGCCTGCATGTGGCCTCAGTGGGTGCTGCCGCCGCCGCCTGCGCAGCTTGGAGCCAGCCCGACTCTGCCAAGACCGACGGCCCCATGTTGAAGTCCCCTCCGACGACGAAGGGCCTGTTTGCAGCCTGGAGCACCCTGAGCACCACGTACAGCGTATCAGCGCTGCTCTTGTTGAGGCCGACATTGACCTCCAAATAGATGTTGAACCACGCGATGCCGCCTCTGCAGACGCCGTTGAAGTGGGAAATGATGGCTCGCCCTGGTACGAGCACAGCTGGCCTGCCGAGCAGGTCGAAAGGCCCGAGCCCAAGATGATGGGGCGCCATCTGCACGAGGCCTCCAGTACCCTGGGAGCCTGGCCCAGCGTTGATCGCTGGTGCTGCATCCGAGACCCATCCGAGCCTGCGGACTTGACCTTGTACATCATGTGTGCGCCGCGAGTCCAGGTGCGTCTCCTGGACGGCCACGAAAAAGCAGCGCCTGGCCGTGGAGGTGTCCAGCAGGTTGGCGAACCGAGACCAGGCGCTGCAATTGACCGTGAGCCCGACCCACCACCTGCCTTGCTCGTCCGACCCGCGGGGCAGGGTCGACGACCGACTGCCGCCGATCGCCACTCTGCTACCCTCCCGCGGTGCGTGACCGCTTGGCCGTTCTGAGGGCGTTGAGCGCTTCCTGGAGCCGCTTCCTCTCGTTGTCGCCCGACGCGCTGCCGAGGAGCCCCCCAGGGCCGTCGCAGCCCATGAACTTGTCGAAGACGTCCGCTTCTGGCTGGGCCATAGGGGTGTCCTCTTGCTCGGCCCCGCCAGCCGCACCAGCATCTGCTCCTCCAGCATCGCTTGCGGCATGGCCGCCCCGCTGCTGTTCAAGCCCAGGAGGAGGGCCAGCGGCTGCAGCCGAAGTGGCCATCTCGCCCAAGAGCTTGGCGAGGCTGTCCACAACGTCCGTTCCAGACTTGCCCTCGGTGTCGATGGTGGCGACCTTCTCCTTGAGCGTGCGGATGGTTTCCTCCACAGTGGTGGCCGAGTAGAGCTTGGCTGCCTGCTTCTTCGCCTCCTCGAGCTCCGCCTTGCGGTCCGCGAGGGCCTTCTCCGCGTCCGCGAGCGCCTCCAAAGCCTTGCGGGAGCTTTCCAAGAGGCGCTCACGCTTGGCAGCTGCGCCGGCGACGGTGAGGGAGGCCTGGTCGACTGCAAAGGGGGGCGTCCGCGCCTCAGTGCCCAAGACTCCAGCGGCTGCCTTTCGGCGTGCCAGCTCGACCTTGTCGCGACTGCTGCGGGAGAGAACATCCTTGACGAGTTCGTACGACTCCAGCGCCATGGCGGCGTAGGCGGCGATCTTGTCGGGGCCAAGGGTGACGATGGTGCTGGCGTTGGGCCCTCCTCCGTTAGGCCCGAGCCCTTTGCCTCCACGCCCCTTGCCGCCACCTTTGGGACCGTTGTGCCAAGAGGCTCCTTCTCCTCCGCCTCCGACAGTCCACTTGCCACGTGGCTTGGCTTCGGCGTCGTTCGTCGCAGGCACGTTGCGGTCCGAGCGCTTGCCCTTGCAGCCAGCCCTGATGCAGAGGGAGAGGTGCTGCGGGGTATAGCCACCACAAGGCACACACTGCCAGCACTTCGCCATGAGAGCAGGAAGGCCCAGGCAACCAGGCCGAGGAGGAAGACTGCACACCCTCGGGTTGAGGGAGGCAGGTGGTTACCAGGGGCGGACCTGGCACCACAAAAGGATGGATCGCGAGCTCGGGGAACAGAGCTATCCCGTTTGTGCCAGGAGGCTAGCAGCCCCCCGAGCATTGGGTCTTGAGCCAAAATGGCTACGGAGTGCCACTCGGGCCTTCGGTGGAGCTCCCTATGGGGCCACGAACCCTGTGAGGGGCGCGCCGAAACGAGTGGAACTGCATGCGAACGCTGCCACTGGGGCCGTCAGTGGAGCTCCCTATGGGGCCACGAACCCTGTGAGGAGTGCGCCGAAATGAAGGTGGAACTGCATGCGAACGCTGCCACTGGGGCCTTCGGTGAAGCTCCCTATGGGGCCACGACCCTTGTGAGGGCTGCGCCGAAATGAGGGTGGAGCTGCATGCAAACGCTGCAACTAGGGCCTTCGGTGGAGCTCCCCATGGGGCCACGAACCCTGTGAGGGGTGCGCCGAAATGATGGTGGAACTGCATGCGAACGCTTCCACTGGGGCCTTCGGTGGAGCTCCCTATGGGGCTACGAACCCTGTGAGGGGTGCGCCGAAATGGGATGGGCATGCGGAGAGCAGAAGCAAGGATGGGAAGCAGGAGGGAGGAGGAGAAGGAGGACTAGGAGGCGGGAGCGAGGGGAGGGAGGGACGCGGGGCGCTGTCGCTTCAAAACGAGGACCCAACACCACGGGATGGTTGGGGAAAAAGCTCAGCAAGAGCCAAACATATTAAAGAAAGTCGTCCCCAGAACCTGCTTTGACTATTTTTCGCAAATCAGTCCTTGCACTGAGGGGTCCGAGCGGAAATTGAAAGATTTGGCAAAAAAAAAAAAAAAAAAAAAACAACAACAACAACAACAACAACAACAACAACAACAACAACAACAACAACAACAACAACAATTACTAGCACGTGGGGACACTCCGTTCTCACCAGTGCCAGGGTTTTCATAGGAGGCGGGCAATACCCCCACTTTGTGGGGGGGCCGGTTCAAGCTCTACCAAATTTCCAAACGACTCTTCGCCACCACCCACACCCAGCTTCCCGCCCTATGACGTTCGGACACTTCACTTCGTGGCCTGCGGACGACCGTGGCTACTACACTGGCGCGTGGCTACTACACTGGCGGATTCTGGCCCCTGGCAGGCGCGCGAACCCCGTTGCAAGAGCGTGCGAAAGTAGCTCGCGCGAGCTCATGTAACATAAATGTTGGAAAACCATTGGTTTTTTTAGGATTCGGACAGCGCGCGCGGGTGGAAATTTTGAAAAGTCGCGCAGGTGTTTTTCGAGGACCTACGGTGCGATTCGTGTGATTTTATGATGCGCGGTGCTAAAATTCTTAAGAACCCAATGGTTTTTGGAGATTTCGGCGTGCGCGCGCGAAGAAAAAACGAATGTGTCCCGCATGGTATTATTTGACAGGGATGATGGCCCTGGCAGGTGCGCAACCGTTGTCGCAGAAGTTCGAAAAAGTTGCTCGCAAAAGCCCGTTTGACAGAAATGTTTAAAAAGTGTTGGGTTTCCTACGAATCCGCAAGAGCGCGCGGGATGAGATTTTGACATTTTTTTGTTGAAAAACCATTGGTTTTTTGATGTTTTTATGTTAAAATCGCTCCGAACACTAAGCTTTTGGAAGGATTTCGCCTTGCGCGCGCGAATGTCCACTTTACCTTATTTTTTGCAAGGGATTCTTGAAATTTGATTATATTAGAACAAGAAATGTCATTTTATAGTGTTTTTTGCAAGGGAAAGCGGGGGGGAACAAAACAACCGGATCTTGATCACATCGAATTACCTGAGGCTTCCTCACGAAAATGATGAAAATGTAGCTGCGGCCTAGGCGGCGCAGGGGGGCCGTGCACCAGGGGTCCCAACAATAATTATTCTTTAGAATTAATAATGTTCAACAACAACAACAACAGCAGCAGCAGCAGCAGCAGCAGCAGCAGCAACAACAACAACAACAACAACAACAACAACAAAAAAAAACCTGCTAATCTTGGTGGCGGCTGAGTTCCCGGGTTCCCAATTCCCAGGTTCCTGACTATTGGTTCCGAACCGAGTTCGGTGGATTCCTGGTTCCCGGGTTCCCGGCTTCCCGGTCGATCTTCTTATCGATCTCTTTATCGACCCCGCGATTCATTATCGATCTCATGATCGATCTCACTACTCATCTCACTCAATCGATCTCACCATCGATCTCATCAAACCATCCACTGATTGGGGCTTCTCTGGCGTAATTAAGAACATTCCTCCTGGGCCCCGTCAGCGGGGACCAGGACCACACCAGGACGCCAGCACGCCCGAGAGAAGGGCCGCGGCACCGGTGGGTCGCAGGGCTCTATCCCCTGCCCGCTCTCCCCAGCCAGATGTGGCACGGGGTCCTCGAACTCACAAGAGCCCCCGCTTGTGGTACGATAGGTTCGTGCGGCGTCGGCGCGCGCTAATGTCTTTGACCCAGCGTCGATGTTTCAACCTTGAATCGATCGCGGCCTCGATCGTTCAAGGCTGAAGCCCGTCGAGCCCAGGAAGCGGATATCTGGAGCCCGGGACCTTCCCCCAATCAAAAAATATATGAACGTTTCGCGCTCTGCGCGGAGCGCCAAACATTTATGTTTATGGCGTCATTTCTTCTTCGACCCAGGACCAACTTCTGTCCTCCCGAGTCGTGCTCCGACGGGCCCCGGGAGGCCGAACAAACGGCGAGACAAAGGCCTCAGCACCCGTCGTCCCCCCTGAGGGCCTGGCTCCTCCCCCCTCCTCTCTGTTCTTGTCTGCTCCGGCCGAGCAAACGGCGAGACAAAGGCCTCAGCACCCGTCGTCCCCTCAGGGCCTTGTTTCCTTCATGGCGATGTCTCCAGGGCCCGGACCCCGCCCCACGAAGGAAGCGGAGGCTCCAGCCCGGGACCCTCCCCAGGGAGCAGCCTTCTGCTTGTCCCGAGTCGTGCTCCGACGGGCCCCGGGAGGTCGAAAAAGAAACGGCGAGACAAAGGCCTCAGCACCCGTCGTCCCCCCTGAGGGCCTGGCTCCTCCCCCCCCCTCCTCTCTGTTCTTGTCTGCTCCTCCTCCCCCGTTTCCTGCTCCTCATCATCCCCTACTCCTACTCCCCCTGCTCCTACTCCCCCTACTCCTCATTATCCCCTGCTCCTCCTCCCTCTCCCCCTACTCCTCCTCCCTCTCCTCCTCCTCCTCATCATCATCAGCAGAATCATCATCATCTGAATCTTTCTCCTCCTCATCCTCCTCCTCCTCCTCCTCCCTCCCCCCCCTCCTCCTCCTCCTCCTCGTCCTCCTCCCCCACTATCCCCCTACTCCTCCTCCCCCTTCTCCTCCTCCTCCTCCTCCTCCTCCTCCTCCTCATCCTCATCATCATCATCATCATCATCATCATCATCATCATCATCATCATCATCATCATCATCATCATCTCATCATCATCATCATCAGCAGAATCATCATCATCAGAATCTTTCTCCTCCCCCTCCTCCTCCCCCTCCTCCTCCCTCCCTCCTCCCCCCTCCTCCTCCTCCCCCTCCTGCTTCCTTCCTGCAGCGATGCTTTGCCCAGGGCCCCGGCGTCACCCCCGCGGAGGGGCCCGCCTGCCGCCCGAAGCCCGCCCCGTCGTGCTCCACCCAGCCGAAGCGCCGCAGCTCGCCCGACTGGCACTCGTGCCGCAGCACCTATCCCCCCGCAGTGGGACGCCAGGAATGGGCACGGAAAGCACGGGTACAATGTCGAACAGCAGATGCTGTCCCAAACCAACCGCGGCCGCGACAGGAAGAGGGCGGGGCCAGACCCTGGATGATGCACTAGGGGATCCCTACAAAATCTCCGATACCGCAACTCCCCGGACCTCTCCTGGGGCGCGCTCAGACCGGAAATTCGATGCGAATCCAGAGGTGGCGACGAGGGCCTCCCAGGAGGCCCCCAAAAGGCAAAATCGAGCGAAGGGCAGCGGTATGGGTGCCTCTTCCTCCTCTGAGCGGGAAGCTGGGGCGTCCGTACACCGAGGTCCCTCCAAGGAGGGTCCGGGAGGAGGACGGAACCTCGAGGAGGAGGATCGAAGAGGAAAAACTAAAAGAATAAAAACCGCATAAACATGAACTGTTGGCGCTCTGCGCGGATTCCTTGGATCTGCACTCGGACCCCCCCTTAGCGCGCGAAGCGCGCAAGGGCGGCGCTGGAGGCGCCGCGGGGGGGACCCAGGGCGAATCGAAGAAATCCGCGCGGAGCGCCGAAGGTTCATGCTCATGCCGCTTTCTCCCCTTCGAGGAACGCGGATCGAGGAGGATCGGGGAGGAGGCTCGCGAGGGGGGACATGAGGGGAGCCCGCAGGGGGCCTCCGCACCCGACGACGGGAGCGACGAGGCGACCCCCCAGGGGGGGGGGGGGGGGCCAGCACCGGCGGCGATAGGGCGACGGCGATGGCGCCCTGGTGGGCCACGAGGCCGCCAGAAGGCCCCCCCGCCGGCGCTGTAGGCCAGGCTTCCGAAAACACTAACTGGCAAACACATGTATATGTATACATGTGTATATATATATACACAGACTTACATAAACATGTGTAGATATATGGATGTATGCTCTTACGTATACGCACAGTCGGCTCGTATCAGAAGGAGGCGCGTTAAGAAGGCAAGGGCCCTGGACGCCGTTACGAAGCTTTTCGAACCAGGCGCGGTCAACGAAACTGGCCAATGATGGTCCGAGGAGGCAAGGATGCAAGGGCGCCCTTGGGAAAGTCGTTCATCTGTACCATGCGTGTCGACTTCGTAAACGTATACATATGTATGTATGTATGTATGTATGTATGTATGTATGTATGTATGTATGTATGTATGTATGTGCGTATAGATAGGTGTGTGTAGATATATGTGTGTACGTATATGTATATGTATGTGTAAATATGAAGCCATTGGCGGGCATGCGAGGCCCGCGACCAGCAGAGAAGCACGAGGACGAGGAGGAGGAGGAGGAGGAGGAGGAGGTATCCGCCGGTGACCGCTGGAGCGGTGCTCCAGGGGCCACCCGGCATCGGTGTGACCAGCCCCCCCCCCCAGGGCCGACCCGCCCTAGGGCGGGGGGAGGGCGGCGCCGGCCCGCTTCTGCCGCCGTCGCAGCAGCGCAGTGCAGGTCCGAGCGCGCGCGGAGGCCCCCACGCACTCCACGAGGCGGAGACGGCGGTGGACTTGTGTTGTTGTTCCCGTCGGCGGCGAGGCGGGGCAGCCCGCACCAGCGAGAGAGCGAGGCAGGGACACGACCGAGCGAAGCGTCCGGCGCGCGAGGAGCGGAGGGAGGACACAGGGGGCCGCGGGCGGAAGGGGAGGAGGAGGCGCTCAGAGGCGGAAGGATTCCACCATGAGCGGGCTGGGGCGGCAGCAGCGGCGGCGACCAGGGGACCTGGGAGCGCAAACGGCGATGGAAGACATGCAGTGAAACACGCCCCCTTCTGAGGCATGAAAACTGCAGGGAAGCTGCCAGGACGTCATGCAATCCACGAGGTCGTCCTCGCGTGTCAGCGTATCGGGAGGCGGACAAGAGCAGCCTTGCTGGCCCGCCCTGCGTTTGCTCGCTCTGGTTGCTCTCGTCCGCCCCATGTGCGCCCGGGCGCTACCGCCGCGCCGCGGCGGCCGTGGGGTCGGCAAGGAGGGGGACGCCCGCGCTGGCGCGAGTGGCAGAAAGGCAGCAAGCGATCCAGGACCCAGGGGGTCCTGGTGCAAAGCAGCGGTCTGGCGCACTCCCAGGGGGGAGTCCGTCTGAACGCCGAGCAACCGCTGGACGTGAGCCCTGTGCTCTCGCCCAACGGGCGCACTGCACCTAGAAGGGCAACCCTCACTACGGGCACGCGCCCCTGGAGGGCGCCTCAAAAAAGGGAGGAGGAAGAGGAGGAGCAATGAGCAGTGAGCCGTGCGCGGGGAGTTTAGATGAGTTGCTCGAGTCACGCCGTAGAACCTGGCCAAGAACTCTGAAACTCTTCGCAGCCCAGCTTCTGAGGGAGCGAGCCATCGTGAAAGTCAGGGGGACTCCCCACCGGCTGGACCAGCACTGCTCCCGAGCGACGGCGAAGCCCCGTGACGCCGTGCAGGCGTGCAAGAGGGAGGAGAACACGTCGCCTGAGGGGTGGGGGGAGGCCGAACGCGACAATTGCGGCGTGCCTCGCACGCAGTGTCATTCTGTATTTTCAGATGCTGAACTTCTAGATGCGGTTAGAGCTGAAGTTCAGCATGGTACTTATGTCGTGCAGGAGGAGGAGGAGGAAGATGAGGACAAGTACAAACTCCAGAGGAGGAGGAGGAGGAGGAGGAGGAGGAGGAGGAGGAGGATAAGATAAGACGCCGCCTTGCGATCGATGCGAAGGTCGAGCGGCCTCTGGCCGCGCAAGCCTGCTGGAGGCACATGCCTCACGCCGAATCGAACAGCAGAAACTGCAGCGAGTTGTCGCGAGCCCTGTCTTGCGACATCGGCAAGGCAGCAGACGGTGCGGTATACACGTGACTACGGGCCTGGGGTGGCAAAGTGCACAGAGCCCCAGGGCGACTGGCCCCTTCACGCACAGCCCGAAGGGCCTGGTCGAAACCAGAACCAGAGCCCTCGCCATCAGACTGCACGCGCATAAAGGGGGCCAGCAACCTCTTCCTCGCGCAGGAGCCTCCGCGACGAGGCGAAGCTGGAGAGATTCAGCCTCGCTCTCCGCCGCCCCCGCTCTCGACGACGAGCGGCCCTCCTCCTCCTCCTCCTGCTCCTCCTCCTCCTCCTCCTCCTCCTCCTCCTCCTCCTCCTCCTCCTCCTCCTCCTTCTGAGACTCAGGGCGGCCGCCCGCTTCTCGAGCTCGGACGCGCTCGACCAGGGCCGCCACTCTCGCTCGGCAGGAAGAGACTTCGCCCCCGCTCGAACCCACAGCACGGCTTCGAATTGCACCAGCACCTGCATACGGTGAGGGCGTTGGATAAGGACCCCCCTGTACGGTGCACGGTGGGCGCTGCAGAACGAGCGCGAAGAGTCACCGTCGCAGCTCAGACGCTGATCCACTAAAACTCCAGGATGGCAGCAAGACGCACGTACATCGTTCACGCAATGAGAGTGTGCCCTGAGACTGTCCTACTGCCACTGCCACCGTCGCCAAGACCGAGGGCCCATGCCAGGAGGAGGAAAAGTATCGAATATGCGTGATCTTGAGAACGGCACAGTGGCGTCGATAAGAGTCGCGCGTCACGGTGACTGTTGAACCTGAGCCGCATGCATGGGGCGTGGGGGGCAAAGAGGAGGGCAACAGTGCAGATCTACTGCACGCGATACGCACTACACTGGCTGTAAGTAGGGGGGGGCTCCAGCCTCGGATGCCGCTTCCCCCTGGCCTACCCCAAGGGGCGAGCCCTGGCCACGACCCCGATGCGAGTGCAGCCGTGGCGACGAGGGTCCAAAACGCGGATTTTGGACGAACAGTTGAAATAATCAAAACGTGCTCAAGAATTGTCAAAAATAGCCCAAATATCACTCCCTGACTATTTGTTTGACTATTCTTGGATACTCCTCCTGCAGAGGGACATGCCCGACCGAAGGCAAGCACGAAGGAAGGTGCCGTGTGTGCAGTTCCTCCTCTGGCTGACTGCTTCTTCGCCCGCAGGGTCTGCTCGACTGCTCCCGAGCCACACACACACACACACACACCCTGGCAGCTTGAGAGAGGTCGCGGCGCCTTGCCGCTGAGGGAGCCCCAGGCAAGGCCGTGCAGCAGGGAGCCTGCGGGCGCGGGAGGGGACATGGTCCGTGCTGGGAGGGGGGGGGAGCGGGGTCAAGCTCTGGGTCGCTTGCCGGGGAACGCCGAGCGGCTCCTCGTAGGAGCACAGCAGGGCGAATCACAGCCTGGGCACGAGAGAGTTCTGAGCCGTGCAGCGCACGGCGGGACGCCAAGCTCACAAAGAGCAAGTCTGGCTCTGGTCTGGCTGGTCTGGTTGGTCTGGTTTGAGCTTCGTCGTGCAGCTGTAGCTTAGGATCCGGGCGAGAGTGGTTTAGGGGGGGTCTGGCGAGACAATGCCAGCCACCACGACGGCGACCGAAATGTAGCTGTTGTTTGCATGGCAGTTGTTTTTGCTTTACAGCTGTTTTGCATTGCAATCCCACCAGCCCTTTGGGCGTGAGTGGTTTAGCGAGCTCTCTCTGTTCTCAACCCCCCTTCTTCCCCTTCGGGGAGGGGTTTACCCCTCCCCCTACCCCCTCCCCCTGGACCTGGAGAGGTCCTTTCGCGGGTGGTCGGAGGGGTCTTTTTCGACTCCTGGGAGGGCTAAAAAACGACACCCCTCACGAGGATTCTGGCCCCGACAGGGGGAGGCAGAAAGGTGCTCCCCTCTTCTTTGAAGCCAAAATCATTGATTGTACTACGGTTTTGGCCCCATTATGGCCTTCTGAGGGGCAGCGCTAATCAAAGCTCCCCTCTTCTTTCAAGCCAAAATCATTGATTGTACTAAGGTTTTGGCCCCATTTTGGCCTTCAGAGGGGGCAGCGCTAATTAAAGTTTCCCTCTTCTTTGATCGATTTCCTCCAAGATGGCCCCAAGAAGCGCCCAGGAGGCACCAACAGGCCCCAAGATGGCCCCAAGAGGCCCCCAGGAGGCCCCCAAGAGGATCCCAAACGGCCCAAAGAGGCCCCCCCGAGGCACCCAAGACGCCGAAAAGCCCATCAGGACGACCCTCTACTCGCCTGGGCGTCGTTTCTGGACGGGCAGGAGGAGGGGCCCGAACGACTCACACCAGGACGAGGGGCCCGAACAACTCACACCACGAGAAGCCCGAACGACTCACACCAGGACGAAGAGCCCGAACGACTCACACCACGAAGAGCCCGAACGACTCACACCAGGAAGAAGGGCCCGAACGACTCACACCAGGACGAGAAACCCCAAACGACTCAAACCACGAGGAGCGCTTTCTCTCCCTCCTCCTCCGCCTCGTCCTTCTCCCGCTCCCACCACAAGGAGGATGTACAAGGAGGCGGGAGGAAGGAGGAACAGGGGAGATATGCGGGGGCAGGCGGAAACACGCCTGAAAAACACGACTGTCGGCATGCTTCGCTAGAGTTGCTGTTTTGAGATGGGCTGGTGGGGATACGCGAAGCGTGAAGAATTTGTCTTGTATCTGGTCTGGCTGGTCTGGTTGCTCTGGTTTGAGCTTCGTTTCGCAGCCTCAGCTTAGGATCTGAGCGAGAGTGGTTTAGGGGGGTCCAGCGAGGCAGCGCCAACCACCACGACAACGACCGAAATGACGTTTCTTTTGCATATAACGAGTTTTTCTTTTCAGTTATTTTTGCACTGCAGCTTTTTCTGCCTCTGGTCTGGCTGGTCTGGTTGGTCTGGTTTGAGCTTCGTCTTGCAGCCTTAGCTTAGGATCCGGGCGTGAGTGGTTTAGGGTAAGTCCGGCGAGGCGGCGACAGCCACCACGACAATGACCGAAATACAGTTTGTTTTGCAATGCAATTTGTTTTGCATTGCAGTTTGTTTTGCACTGCATTTTGTTTTTGTTTGCATTGCAATTTGTTTTTCATCTGGTCTGGCTAGTCTGGTTGGTTTGGTTTGAGCTTCGTCTTGCAGCCTTAGCTTAGGATCCGGGCGAAAATGGTTTAGGGGAGGTCCAGCGAGGCAGCGCCAACCACCACGACGAGCAAAATGCAGTTGTTTTGCATTACAATGTTTTTTGTGCTGCTGTTTGTTTGCATGGCAATGTTTGTTGCATCTGGTCTGGCTGGTCTGGTTGGTTTGGTTTGAGCTTCGTCTTGCAGCCTTAGCGTAGGATCCGGGCGAGTGGTTTAGGGAAGGTCCAGCGAGGCAGCGCCAACCACCACGACGATTGACATGCATGTGTGTTGCATTGTTTTGTGTTGCAGAATGTTTTGCACTGCAGTGTTTATTTGCATCTGGTCTGGCTGGTCTGATTGGTCTGGTTTGAGTTTCGTCTTGCAGCCTTAGGGGTTAGGTATGGTCTGGTTGGCCTGGTCTCGTTCATTGGTCTGGTCTGGTTGGTCTGGTCTGACCTGGTTGGTCTGGCTACTCTTGGTCAGGAGCGAGCTGAAATACAGGACGGCGGATGCAGCGGGCCTATGGGACAAACTGAAACATAAAGTTCTTAGCTGTTGTAGCGCACGGCGGGACGACAAGCTTCCAAAGCGCAAGCTTGAAGCTTCAGCCTTAGGCTTGAGCTTGAAGCTTCAGCCTTGAGCTTGAGATTGAGCTTTGTAGTGAAGCCTTAGCTTAGGATTTGGACACCCGAAATGGGTACCGAAAGAATGGGTACCATGCCCAACAACAAATGTTGTCCCAAACCAACGGCGGCCGCTGTTGGGCAGGCGGCCTTCTGTCTCGAATGGACACAGGCCGCGGCGGCGTGGACAGCGAATCCTGTTCAGAATGAACAGGAACTGCTGTTGGGCATCGTACCCATTCTTTCCGTGCCCATCTCGGGCGTCCAGATAGGATTCGGGCGAGAGTAGTTTAGGGGAGGTCCGGCGAGGCAACGCCAACCACGACGACCAAGGAAATACAGTTTTTTGCATTACAAGTTTCTTTGCATTGCAATGTGTCTTGCATCTGGTCTGGCTGGTCTGGTTGGTTCGGTGTGAGCTTCGTACTCAAGCCTTAGTTTAGGATTCGGGTGAGAGTGGTTCAGAGGTGGTCCAGGGAGGCAGCGCCAACCAAGACGATTACCGAAACACAGTTGTTTGTTGCATTGCTGTTTTTGTTTGCATTGCAGTTGCTGTTTGCATCTGGTCTGGCTGGTCTGGCCTAGTCGGTTTGAGCCTCGTCTTGAAGCTTTAGCTTAGGATTCGGGCGATGTGGTGTCTCATTGCAGTTGTTTACGTTGCGGTTGTGTTTGCATTGCATTTGTTTTGCATCTGGTCTGGCTGGTCTGGTCTAGCTGGTTTGAGCTTCGTCCTGAAGCCTTAGCTTAGAGTTCGGGACATTGCTTTTGCATTGATGTTCTATTGCTTTGCAGTAGTTTGCATTGCAGTTTATTTTGCATCTGGTCTGGGCGGTCTGGTCTGGCTAGTTTGAGCTTAGTTTTGAAGCTTTAGCTTACTCTGGGTTTCTCAATAAGCGTGGGGAAGTACCCCCCGACTGGAGTCAACCTCGCCTTGTCGTCGCGCCGCGACGGGGGTCGGAGCGCCTTCGGCGCGCGGCGGCTACCCGCGACGGGGGTCGATATGGGGCTGTCGGTTAGGGTGTCGCCCCCCCCCCCCCCCCGACGCTCATTCAGAAACTCGAAATAGGATTCGAGCGATGTGGTTTTTGCATTGCAGTTTTTGTTACATTGCAGTGTTTGTTGCATATGGTCTGGCTGGTCTGGTCTGGTCTGGCTAGTTTGAGCTTCGTCCTGAAACCCTTAGGATTCGGGCGATTGTTTTGCATTGCAGTTGTTTGCATTGTGCATCTGGTCTGGCTGGTCTGGTCGGTCTGGCTGGTCTAGTTGGCCTAGTTGGCCTGGTTGGTCTGGCTGGTGTGGTAGATCTGGTTGGTCTGGTTGGTCTGGCTGGTCTGGTCTGGTTGGTCTGGGTGGTTCGTCTGGCTGGTCCACTTGGTCTGGCTGGTCTGACCTGGTTGGTTGGTCTGGCTTGTCTGCGTGGTCTGGCTGGTCTGGTCTGGTCTGGCTGGACTGGTTGGTCTGGCTTGGTCTGATTGGTCTGGTCTGGTCTGCCTGGCCTAATCGGCTGGTCAGGCTGGTCTGGTCTGGTTGGTTGGTCTGTCTGGTCTGGCTGGTCTACTTGGTCTGGCCTGTCTGGTTGGTCTGGCTGGTCTGGCTGTTCTAGTTCGTCTGGTTGGTCTGGTTGGTTGTCTGGTTTGGTTGGTCTGGCGCGGTTGCTCCACTGGCTCCGGTTGGTCTGGTTTGTCCGATTGGTCTGGCGCGTCCAGCCCAGAGTGCTTCCGGATCTGGTCTCGGCTTGCAGGTCCCATTGGCGCGGGCGCGGAGTTTGGATCTTGCAGGATGGCGTTGAGTAGAAGGAGGGAGAGGAGGAGGAGGAGGAGGAGGAGGAGGAGGAGGAGGAGGAGGAGGAGGAGGAGGAGGAGGAGGAGGACGAGCACCGTGTCTGACGATTCTAAGGCCAGGCGACCGCTCCGGAAGAGCCGAATCCTTAAAGAAAACGACGTCGTCGCCGTCGTCCTCGTCCTCGCCCTCGACATCCTCGTCGTCGTCGTCGTCGTCGTCACCGTCGTCGTCGCTGTCGTCGTCATCGTCTTGCCCCTTGCGTCGCCGCAGCCGGGGCCGGGACCAGAAGCGCTGGCGCGTCGAGTCCCGCCGCGGCGGGAAAAGGGTTTTTTGGGAAGGAGGGAACATCAGCAGCCATATCAGTTCTTATGCCCCAGAGCAAAGGAAGGAGCTGGGGCATAACAACTGTTCGCCTCGAGTGGCCTAGACCACACGAGCCGCGCGCGGCCGTCTCCACGGATGGCTGTGCCCTCCCGCCTGCACGGTGGGGTGAACCCATCCACGCGGTCTCGGGAGGCAGAGCTTCCGGGCGCTCATGCGAGGACGTCGTCGTAGCCGACGTCGTCGTCGTGGACGCGGCGCTGCCGTCGTCGCCGTCGTTCGGAGGAGAAGCACGGCCCGCCACCACCGAGAACCCAGCAGTGGGGGGCCGACCCCTGGGCGGCGGCACGCCCGAGCGCCACCCCGATGCAAGATGACGCTCAGGCGTGCCACCGCCCAAGGGCCGGCCCCTCACCGAGAGGCTCTCGGTGGCGGTGGCCCCGGGGAACCCAGAGGGTACCGGTACCGCTACTCCCTGGACCTCTCCTGGGGTGCGCTCTGCCCAGGATTTCGAGGCGAATCCAGCGGCGGCGGCCAGGGCCTCCCAGGAGGCCCCAAAAAGAGGAAGACGAGGAAAGGGTAGAGGTAGGGGTACCTGGTCCTCCTCTGAGGCCCATGCTCCTCCTCCGAGTCGCCCTCTCGCTTGCTTGGTGGGGTGGGCCAAGCCAGACGTTCCCCAGTGAGACAGGGCTTCCGGGCGCTCACGGGGAGGGGCGGTGGCAGGGGCGCGCCGGCTCCCGCGCGAGCGGAGGGGGGGAGGAGGGGGGAGAATGCATGGAGGAGGGAGCCGAGGAGCAGGATCGTCCTCCTCCTCCTCCTCCCCCTCCCCCTCCTCCTCCTCCTCATCCTCCTCCTCCTCCTCCTCCTCCTCCTCCTCCTCCTCCTCCTCCTCCTCCTCCTCCTCCTCCTCCCCCTCCCTTCCTCCCTCCCTTCCTGCCTGCCTGCCTGCCTGCCTGCCTGCCTGCCTGCCTGCCTGCCTTCCTTCTTTTCTTCCTTCCTTGCTCCTCCTCCTCCTCCTCCCTCATTTCCTATCTTCCGTCCTTCCTTCCTCCTCCTCCTCCCGAGCTAGCCCGACAGCCGCCGCCAAGAGACACGGGGGCGCCATGAGCTCGAGGAGAGGAAAGCGAGGCAGGTCCACCCGGCGGCGCGGCGGATCACTACTTCTGGGGGGCCCCGCTCCCGGGCGGCACTCTGCCCTTGCAGGACCTCAACCAAAGGGCCCGAGGCCAGACCCGCCCAGGACGAGGAGCGAGAGGCGAAGGACGCCGACGGCGGCAACGGAGCAAGACAAGGAAGAGGAGGAAGTACGAGTGTGCAGGGGGAGGGAGCAGGAGGAGGAGGACATGGAAGGGGAATGAGGAAGAGGAGGAAGGCCAGCCTGGTCACAAGCCTTGAGGCTCCAAAGATGGGAGGTGCTTGTGCTCAAAATGGAACTCCCGCCCAACTTCTGGGATCCTGGGACGCTCGTCTTTCGAGGAGGGCGCTCCCCACAGAGAACATGAACGCAGGTAAGGGCCACTGAAGCAAGGCCTTGGGACGGGACGGTGTATTGCACCCCTCGTTGGTACGCACAGATGGTGTTCACCGTAAACCTGGCACTCCTCCAGCTCTTCCTCCTCCTCCTGCTCCTCGCCGTCCTTCTCCTCCTCCTCCTCCGCCTGCTCCCCCGCAGAGCTCCAGCCTCCCTCATACAAAAAACTGGCACGCAGGCGCGCCGCACAGTGACGCCGCCGTCCACACGGCACAGATGGAGACCGGCTGAGCTTCAGTGAAGGGGCCCAAGGTCACACCAACAAATACGCGCAAACAACGGTATTCCTGATGTTTTCTGATCGTTTCTGGGTATTTCTCTTCCCCCCCCACTTCCAAAATTTCGGGGATCGTCTGACCCGGGTCAATCCAGACCAGGGTCAACAGGAAACCAAAAAAATGCAATGCGGAAAACATAACTGCAACGCAGGTCTTCCCAAATCCGGGTCAGCCTCGCGGCCACGAGCGGCTCGCTAACCCGGGTCAGCCAGAGGGGGTCTTCGCAGGATCCTGCAGGATCCGGTGTCCTGGCTGACCCCCGTTTGCATTGACCCCCGTCTCGAGGCTCCCGAAGATTGTCCTGCATGTTTGTTCCTGGGAGTCGGCGACAAGATTGTGCCTGTGTGGTTCTGTCCCCTCCCGAGCTCCGGAACGGGGCGCTCGCTCGACGCGTCCCTCGGGCCTCGTGGTAAACCCCACGCCGCGGGGCGCGCTCCTCCGCAAGCAGCTGCAGCGCGGTGCAGGGGGCCGCGCGCCCCCGAGGGGCGGGAGAGCCGCGCCCTCGAGCGGCAGGTCCGCAGGGCACCGTGGGCCGTCGGTGGGGGCGCCCCTCGCGGCGAGGAGCAAGGCCCGTGCTTGCCGCGGTGCAGTGGAGGCCCCTGCCAAGAAGCGCCCGGCTTGCCTCCAGGGGTGCCCCGGGTTTCCTGGGTGTCGATGCTTTTGCCGCGGAAGGCGGGGCGCTCCCACACCAAAATTCGAGGGACGTCCTGGGGTCTCCGGGGTGGGCTTCTAGTGGAAGCTCTCTTGTGGTCGGGCCCCTGCTGTATCTGAGGGGTCTTTGGACACGAGGCTCTGTTGCAACACCGTCAGCGCATCCCGTGCTTACTCTGGCCAACCTCCTCCTTCTCCTCGACGTCACCAAACAGCTTCTAGGCACACCCAGCATGACCGTGGTGATCCACATTCTGACCAAGGGAAGCTGGAAATGCCGAGAGCTAGCTGTGCACAACTTTGCCGATGGACCGTATGCACAGGCGTTCGGCCAGAGCCCGCAGCGCGAGACGGGAACGGGCGAAAGCGGATGATGGGTACGTCCCGAAACGACTTCGCAGAACTCGATCCTGTGGAGAAGAGCGTTGCCTTCCCCCCCGGCCAGGATCTACTGACCACCCCCCCCTAAGACACAGCTCTCACCCGTGGCCCGAGCTGCGTCTGGCCCTGGCGACGAGGTGGGACCGCAAGGCCAGTCCAAGCAGCAGCGCAGGCAAGGGCATGCCGACTCCCCACTCCAGCCCGCTGGGAGCCAGGGTGGCGGCCGCGCACCCCGAAGTAGACGCCAGGCCGGTAGGTGCCCCAGTGCATGGCCTGCGTGTAACTCTCGGGGAACACGCTGGCGTCCTCAGGGGCCATCAGAGGCTCGTCGTCGTTGCCGTACTCCTCATCACCATCAGCACCATCATCAGCATCATTATCTTATACTTGCACACATCATCGTCATCGAAATCGTCATCGCCGTTATCGCCATCATACTCAACATCATCATCACCCTCATCATCAGCAGCAGCATGTTCATCATCATCATCATCATCATCATAATCATCATCATCATCATCATCAACAGCATGTCAATCATCACTATGATCGCCAACATCAAAATTGACATCGCCATCATCGTCATCGTCATCAATATTGGCATCGCCGTAATCATCGTCAGATTCGTCATCAACAACATCGTCCGTATCGGCATCGTCGTCAGCATCAGCATCAGCAGCAGCATCAGCATCAGCTCCATCATCGTCATCATAGTATTCTTCTGCTTCATCATAATCATCAGCATCAGCATCACCGGTCTCATCATCGTAATCGCCATCATCAACATAATCGGACTCATCGTCGTCGTTATCATCATCACAACAGCCATCATGATCACCATCACCATCACCATCGCAACCACCTTCTCGATCGTCATCATCGTCAGCATCATCATCACTATCATCGGTAGCAGCATCATCATCATCATCATCATCATCATCATCATCATCATCATCATCATCATCGGCAGCATCATCATCATCATCATCATCATCATCATCATCGGCAGCATCAGCAACAACATCATCATCATCATCATCATGATCACCATGGTCATGAGCATCAGGATCGGCGTCGTCATCGACATCGCCATCATCATCGTCATCGTCATCACAAGCATCGTCATCATCATCAAAATCATCATCAGCATGGTCATCGCCATCACCACCACCATCACGATCAACAGCATCATCATAATCCTCATACTCATCATCATCCTCATCGTCATCCTCATCATCATCAGCAGTATCATCATCCTCGACGTCGTCGTCAATACCATTATCGTCATCATCAGCGTCATTATAGTCCTCATCATTATCATCCTCACAAAGAGCAGCAGCATCACCATCGTCATCACCATCATCAACATCATCATCATCATACTTCTCATCCTCCCGCTGCTCGCGGGAAACGTCGCCAAGTTTGAAAATCCACAGGTGGCGCGCGGGATGTCTCTAGCAAATTAGGAAGCACATCCGGGAGGCCTGTATGAAGCCGTTACGTAAACGGAAGCCGAAGCGGGCTGCGAGAGCGAAAGTAAACACATGCCTCTGAATTCTGAGAGGTGCCATTAGAACTGAACTCCAAGCTTAGGCTGAAACTACAGCCATCACCAACAATAACGCCAACTCGAAATGGAAACAAACGATACTGCTACCAGCACGGCTGCATACCAAGCTGGAGCCCACGTGAGGCAGAATGTGTGAGGTGCAACAAATGTTCAAACCAAATTGAAACGCACCTGGGGCTGAGAATAAAGCTCAGGTGAACGGTAAAGCAGCAGAGGAAACGGTCGCCAAACTTACAGCTGGAAAAACACAGTAGCATATCAACCGAACGCTAAATGCAATACTACGAAAGCAGGAGCGAATTTTCAGGCAACACCGAAAAATACATGAAGCGAACACTAACAATCAAACTCGATACCTTTCAACCGTAACGCAAAACGATCAACGCTCACACTGTGAGCGGACGAATCCTTCTCCGCACGTATCCCAGCATCGTAGCCGAAATCTGGCACACGTCCAATGTATTGGCCAGACGTTGGCCCAATGTTTGGCTAGATAGGCGCTTCCATAAAGGCAGGAAGCGGCGAGGAACCGCCGCACGCCTCTTCGGTAGAACAAACGCGAGGGCAACTCAACAAAAGCTCAACCTAAAACAGGATTCAACATTTAAACTGAAGCTGCATATTTAACCAGCTCGTATTCCCAACATGAAGAGTAAGCAAACACGAAAGCACAGTATGAGTTCAATATGATCCTCAGCTCTGCATGTGTTTTCCCTAAACCCAGCGAGTACGAGAGCTTGCGCAACAAACCAATGACACGCTGCCTGCAATGCGCTTCCCCAACGTCAAACCCGTCACATGGAGGCCGGGCAACGGATTTCGCAATCGCATCCTCGCCCAGTTGAACGTCAACCTAAATGCATCAAGCGGCCCTGGGCGACTCAGAAAATGAGATATCAGCGCTGGACGACGACAGAAGCTCCTCCACCATCCCAAGCGAACGAAGCAAACGCAAACGGGGGGGGAGGAAACTGGATAGGGTGGTCGTCCGAATGACCTCTGCAAGCGACCTGTAGCGTCGCAAGATATACGCAAATCATTTGCACGATCGCACCTCCGCGTGATCACAACAAAATTCGGCTTGATATCGCGGATACGTACCCAGACAAATCAAGAATAATTGAAAAGTCGATTGCCGAGAAAAATAAGTCAACAGCACGTCCATACGTTGGCAGCTTCATGTCATGCATCGTTAAAATTGCTGGACGTCGAAAGCAGCACGTAGTGATTCAAATCCAAGTCATCCGCGCTCCCAACATCCCGCTTGATGAGCATACAGAGTACGCGCACGATCCACGACTCCACCCAACATCGCGTTGCCGTCCAAGGCGGAAATTCAACAACACATTGGTGTCTCACTTGGTAGTCTTCCAGTTCACATCGAAATAAGCAGCATTTTCTGCATTTGATGTCAGGAGCCGCGATTGTGTCTTGACATCGGCTGCCATGTCGGCCATGATGTCCTCGTAACTCAAACCTGCATCTGCGCAAATCTTGATCATTCCACGTTTACCGAACGCTGTCGATAATGTGCTCAAAGTCGCTCGATTCGATAAACATTGCTGTGTACCATGGGATTCACCGAGAACTCGGCATGTTCTGCCTGCGGCGGGCAGGCATTGATGAATGCTTTCGCATGCTGGCTGTATGGCACGACTGTCTGCGAGCTGCTTTCGCCGTGCATGTGGTCAAACCATCCTTGCGCATTTTCCCAAGAATCGCTCCATCCCATACATTTTGCGCAGCCGCCCACCAATGTGCCGAAAGACCTGATGTCTGGGACAATCGAATGTGCCTTCATAGTATCAAATAAACCTTCTGCTGTTTGCATATCGCCGGTTTTGGCGCAAGCATGCATCACTACGTTGAAAGAAGGGATCTGTGGTCCGATATGTTGTTTCATCATTGTACGTACCCAGCTCACGGCATACTGTCGGCCGTTGCGTAAAAGGAAAAGTCTTGTGAGGGAGTTGTGCGACGTAACATCCAGCTGCGCAGCATCGGTCTTCATTTGGGACAACCATTGCTTCGACATTGCACCATCCCCTCTCTTCGCGGCTACATTCACGAGGTCCTTGTAAGTAATGGCACTGAGCGTGATGCTGTCACTAAACACTTAGCTTCTCAAATGCTCTGCAAGACCTACAGTTCCGTCGACAACGGTGGATGTTATCATTGTGGAGCACAGTCCCAAGTTTACCTCAAAACTATACTTGACCATTATTTGGGACCACGACTCCGCAACATCATGTGTGCTTGACGTTGCCGAGGCCTCGATGAGCTTGCCGACTGTCCTCGCATTGGGCTGCAAAATAGAAGCCATGCCTGTAAATACATGATGTGCGCGTGTAGCCACCTCCACTTGCACATGCTTACAACAGTGTGTTCCAAGCAAGGCGCTCAGACGTCGCAGGCAACCTATTCAGATACATCCGAAGTTGAATGATCACCTTCTGCGAGTTATCCCCTTGTTCTGCCCACATGCTCAAGGACCACACGATTGCATCAACAAGGGTGCACTCGTTGGCTCTCGACGCAAACGGCCCATTATTGAACAACATGTTCGCAAGATAATGAAGAGTCACAGTGCGAAATAGACTACCAACATTCAGGATTGCGCATGGCTTGAGCCAACATGGGCAGACATCAAATACGAAACGGTAGCGGAATTAAACAACATGTGACACATGGCAGCCGCGCGTGCGATCCTTCCCACGCCAGAGTAGCCTCATGATCAGCGGCAAGCCGATCGTGCGAGGTGCACAGTTATCCGCTTGTAAGCGGGGCAGCAGGGTTCTTGCGCGCTGTATCCCTCTCGTCGGCCTCCAAAAAATATGTTACACTCGAGGTCGACCACCTGCCACTCCCACTCCCTCACGGCGAGAATGATGTTATGAAAGGATCGGATCAGGGTACGTTCTAAGGTTTGCGGGGCAAACTTAGCGGCGCAGACGGTGCGAAAAACATATGGAAACAGAGGAAACCTGGGAAGCCTTGAGTATCCTGGAACGTGTTACTATCATGACCGCATCCTCCTCTGACCCCTCTCCCTGTCTCTCAGACAATCAATGGCATAAACATACACTTTTGGCGCTCCGCGCGGATCTCTTGGATCTGCGCTGCACCCCCCTCCCTGGCGCGCGGACCGCGACAGGGGCGGTGCCGGAGGCGCCGCTGGGGGGGGGGGGAGGGGGGGCAGCGCGGCTGAAAAGAAACCCGCGCGGAACGCAAAGTTCATGTTTGTGCCGGTTTTTCTTCCTCGACTATCCTCCTCCGATCCCTCTCCCTCTCCTCAACCCCGCCGCCTCCCGCCTGCTCCCCTGACCCCCCACCCCCTGGCAACACAGCTCCACAGCGGAGGGAGCCCGTCCGCCGCAGCAGGGCAGAGGCTCCGGGGCGCACCGCCCTTTGAGATCGGAGCCGCCTTCGCCATACCGCCTGCCCGTGACGACGCCGACAGGCGTCGTACGACTCGGGCACTGAGGCATGGAGCCCTGCACTTGCCCGAACCCGCCCCCCCCTCTCCCTGCCGTCTCCCTCTCCTCCCCGTCTGCCCAGACCGTCCCCACCCACCCACCCACCCACCCACCCACCCACACCCACCCACCACCCACCACCACCCACCACCACACACACACGCACACACGCACGCACGCACGCACGCGCACCACCACCCACTACGCACGCGCGCGCGGAGCCACAGGTCCGCTACGACACGCGTCCGCGGATAGAGAAAATCAGCGCCATGGTAAGGGATGGGAGGGAGGGGTAGGACGTCAGATATGACGCGAGCGCACCTAGCTTGTCCCCTCCCCCTCCCCCTCCGCGCCCCCTCCGCTCCCCCACCAGCCCCTCCACTCTGGAGCCTCCTCCCCCTCTCTCCCCCTGCCCGGCCTGCCCTCTCTGGAGCTGTCGGAGATCCACGCGGAGCTCCTGAACATCAGTGAACATTTGCTTGGACCAATCAGCTGCTCAACAGCAATCAGCTCCAATCAAACTTCTCAAGCTCGGTACTTTTGGAACTATATCAACGTCAACTCTTAGGGCACCACGCGGACCTCCAGTCTTGGCGCTGAACCCCGCTCCCTGGCGCGTCCAGCAGGGGCGGCGCCGGAGGCGTCGCCAGGGGGCTCCAGACCCGATCTAAGACGAGGTCGGGCATGTCCTCCTACAGGCGGACGTTGGAAGAAATAAAAAGAAGTCCAAAAATGTTCAAACCTAGTCGAACAAATAATCAAAAAATCGTCCCCACACTAATGTCGGACTATTTTTGAATGCTCCTCGTGTAGAGGGACATGCCCGACTTAGATCTAAAAAATCCGCGCGGACCTTCGAAAGTCTATGTCTATCCCTTTTTTGGGCCCGCGGCCTCGCCCCCTCCCCCTCCCCCCCACGCGGGGAGACGTAAGACTCGGGTTCGGGGGACTCGGGTTGGCCTGACGGGGCCGTCAGGCAACTGACGAGACCCAACTTGAAAGAAATCGACGCCGGCTCCTACTGCAAACACCCCACGCATACTGGGCCGTCAAAGTCCACACACGGGTTCCGGCGACCTCGAGTCCTACGTTCCCCCGACCCACCAGGGCCCTATGGGGCAAGAAAAAACGCCGCAAACATGAACTTTCGACGGTCCGCGCGGCTTCCTTGGATCTGCGCTGGACCCCCCTCCCTGGCACGCGGAGCGCGACAAGTTTATGTTTCCCCGGCCCACCCCTCGCGTCAGGCCAACCTCCCCTGCAAACGGGGTGTTTGCAAGCGGGGTGGTAGCCAAGGGTGCATTTTCAACGGTGCTGTGAAACCATTGATTGACCGCGCACATCTGCGAGGTAAACCACTCCGCCCAGAGGTATGATGATGTATGGACGCTCTTGCCGCCCCGATGTATCACGCAACAGGTGCGAGGCAAAGGCCCTGCCAGCCCGTTCTTGCCTGAAGAGGGCCCTTCGCTGCCACCCCGCTTATCCTGGCGCCCCGCTTGCAGGGGCCTGGCCCCCGTCTTGAGCAGGGACCGACCGTCCCGGCATTCCTATAGTCCTACCCCGAAGTGTTCTTAGAACCCAGAAATGCTCTAGAACATAAACCTGCTGTTCTAAACATGTTCTTCGAACAAAACACTGACCTTAGAACATAACCCTGATGTATTGAACCAAGACAGTCCCAGCTAGACATGTTGTAAGGACACTTCGTGAAACCATAAAAGGTTCTTAGAACATTTCTTGGAACATTGTTTGGTAGGGCTATAGGCGAGCCAGGACGCTTCGCCACTGCTCGACCGCCCCACTCCTCCAGGGGCGCCGGCGGCAGCCCGGCGCCTCCGAAGCCCAGCCCGCCCGCCGCGGCCTGGGGGGAGGCGACGGCGGCGCAGCGGCACCGTGCCCTCGGCAGGGCCCGCAGCCTGGGCCCCCGTGGGCTCGGCGCGCAGACCCGCCAGGCCTCCGACGTGAAGAGGCCTCCCGAGTGGGGTTGGCGTGACCAGGAGTGAAAAGGGGCCAAGGGACACACATTTGAATAGACACAGAGAACAGGATTCCTCCAGAGTTTCCCATCTGTTCTATCTTTGTGCCGTCCCCCCCCACACTTCCCATACTTTCATATGTCCTCTGGGGAATCGACGATTAATTTTGTCTGTGTGTTCTTTTCCCTCCTAAAGAAGAGGGAGTCGGAGGATCGCGCCGCATTGGCGGTGCACTGCCCATGCATCGGCGAGGTCGGCGTGGAGAAAATCGGAATCCACATGGAGCCGCATCGCCGATGCATCGGCGATGCGGCGACCCCGTCGACGCCGACCCCATCCAGCAGGCCCAGAGTTGTGAGAAACAACCCTGGGGACCTCGCGTGGCACCTTGCGAACCAATGTGCATCGGATCCGCGTCGGATTCACGTCGGATTACGCCGGATTCACGTCGAACTCGCGTCGGACCCTACGTCGAAACACGGCCGCGCGAACGTCGACCCGTATCTTACGGAGAAGACAATGTGGACAAGATGGCACAACCAACGGGCGCCGCGAGAGGCCTCCAGGATTTTCCGAATAGCCAACGTCTTGGAGGAGGAGGAGGAGGCGGAGGAGGACTGAGGAGGAGGAGTGAGGAGGAGAGCTGAGGAGGAGGAGGAGGAGGAGGAGGAGGAAGAGGAGGAGTGAGGAGGAGGAGTGAGGAGGAGGAGTGAGGGGGAGGAGGTGGCGGAGGTGGAGGACGAGGACGACGAGGAACAGCAGCAGCAGCGAGAGAGAGACAAAGAGGAAGGGGAGATGGAGAGGGCCCTCTGCAAAAACGACGCTGGAGGGCCTCCGCCGTTCTCGGCCTCCATGGGGCCCCCTTGCCGGGCCCCCAGGGAGGCCGCGGCAGGGCGGCCCCAGGGCGCCCAGGACCAGCCTCGCGAGGAGAGGGCCGGGCCTTCCGGGGGGGGGGGGCCCGCCGCCGACGAAAGGAGCCGGACCTCGGCGGTCTGGGCGCGCGCGCTCTCGCCCGAGAACCGGCGCGGGCAACAACAAAAAAAAAAACGAGCAACAGCACGACGGGAGCCCCAGGCCCAGACAGGATCGCGTCGGAGCCAATCCAGGACGGAGGCGTTGCACCATTGTCGGCCCCGGGGGGCCCTCGCCGGGCCCCGGGGCCGTCAAACAACGACTCGGGAGGAGAAACCGGCCCCAGGGAAGGGGTCTGGACTTCGGGGGGCCCAGCCTTCCTGCGGCGTCTCCCCAGCCGGATCCATCTGCGCGGGAGCCCCAGAGGCCCGAACTGCCGGGCGAAGGCGCCTGGTGCGGCAAAAAAAACTGCAACTCTTTCTTTTTTTTCGGGGGGGGGGGGGGGGCGAGAGCAAGGCGCGCGCAACGTCAACGAACCCAAGGGGCAGGTCCCAACGACGGGCCTGACAGACGAAGCCAACGCGCACCCGGTGACTCCCCGCGCGCGCGCTCGCGAGGGGGAGGGGCCGGGAAGCGAGAAGCAGCAGGAGGAACCAGAGGCGGACAGGAGGCCTGCAACGCCCGGATCGCTGCGGGGCCAGGCCAGACAGTGGCGCACCGCCCCCCAGGACCCCCGACGCTGGGCCGCCCCGAGACGCAGCACGCCATCCGCAGCGCAGCGCGTTGGCTCGGAGCTCCACGCGGGGATCGAGACCGCACGCTTGGCGCGATCGCAGGGGCCCCTGGGACACACAAAGAAATAGACACAAAAATAACAGGACTCCCAATATTCTCGCAGATTTCCTGGGTGATCGTCTTCCCCCCCCCCCCCCACTTCTCGTAGGTTCCCCCACTTTCCTGGGAGTCGACGATTACTTGTGTCTGCGTGTTGCCTCCTCTCCTGAAAAAGCGCGGGCCGACATGCGCTGAGCCAGCACGCAGCGCGTGAACACGGCCGTTCTGAAAACGCGGCGCGGCGTGCGCTCCCAAAATCGGGCGGGTCGGGGCGGCTGCGCCCCGACGTCGTGCTTGTCTGAAGGGGCCCTGGGACACACAAATAAATACACACAAATAACCGGGTTCCCAATCTTTTCCCATATTTTCTAGGCTTTTGTCTTCCCCCCCACTTCCCATATTCTCCAATCTTTTCCGGGGAATTGACGATTAATTGTGTCTGTGTGTGTTTCCCTCCTGATTATCTCAAGTCGGGCATGTCCCTCTACGGGAAGAATGTTCGAAGACAACTGTTGCTTACTGTTGCTTTAAGGCGGCGACGCTGTCGGCGTGCATGGGGGGCTTGTTCGTTGGAGTCGTCGTCTCCGTCGTTCGTCAGTCGTCGTCTCTGTCGTCCCCTTTCCCTGGGCCCGCCGCCGGGCCTCCCCCCTTTCCCTGCACCCTCCTCAAGCGCTGGGCCCGTCGCCGCCCCACCCCCCTTCCCTAGGCCCTCCTCCTCAAGCGCGCCAGCCAAAGCGAAATTGAGCAACGTCGCAGTTGACTCGAAGGGAAGCCCCTTCCCTTTAAACCTTCCCCGCCGGGAGGGGTGGGTCGGGAGGAGGGGTCCCGGGTCAGATACGACTCCCACCAGGGGGTCCCAGGGCTCACAAAAGCCCCAACACGGGCCAACAGTGCCCCAAGCGGCCCCAAAGGCGGTCCAAGAGGGCCCTGAATCGCCGAACGATCTGTCAAAGACGCCTTGACGGCCTCCAGACGGCCCAAGAGAACTGCAAAACGCCCCAAGAGGTCTCCAGGAGCACTCCCAAGAGGGCCCCAAGAGGATGAATCAGTGATTTCCCCTGAGGCCTTGAACCTTTGCGGCGTTCTCGCCTCGTCCGCTTCCCGACGCTCCAAGACGGCGAGGCCCCAAGACGGCCCAAGAGGGCTCCAAGAGGAACCCAAAACGGCCCAAGAGGGCCCCAAGACAGCCCAAGACGCCTCCAAGACTGCCCAAGAGGCCCCAAGACGGCTCCAAGAGGGTACCCAGACGAGGGACCAGAACGGACATTTCGATCCCTCGGCCCCGAGAGTCTCCCAGGAGGAACCAAGAGGCCCCCAAGAGGCCCCCAGGAAGCCCCGAGAGGCCCCCAAAGAGGTTTCCAAGAGGCCCCCAAGAGACTCCCAAGAGGCGCCTGAACTGTCCCCCAGAGGCCTCCGAGAGCGCTTCGAAGAGACCCCAAGAAGCATCCATGAGGACTCTGACCCACGTCAACGTCGTCGTCGTCGTCGTCGCCGCCGTTGTCGTCGTTCCCCTTCAGGGTCGGCGGCACCGGCCGTGAGGTCTTCGCAGTCGCCTGGAGACGAGTTTTCGACTGTTTTGACCTTTGTTGATTCTGTGTTGATTGTGCTGCAGTTTTCAAAAGCCGCCTGTAGGCGGACATGTCAAGTCAAGTCAAGTCACCCCGCTCGCACGAGGGCGGGCCCATATAGGGCGCGAGGCGGACAAGTCAAGTCACCCCATATAGGCGGACATACCCGACCTAATTCCTGTCTTACGAAGTGACCCCCACTGGCCTTACCACAACGTGGACGAGATGGCACAACCAGCGGGCGCCGCGAGAGGCCTCCAGGATTTCCCGAATAGCCAACGTCTTGGAGGAGGCGGAGGAGGAGGAGGAGGACTGAGGAGGAGGAAGATGAAGAGGAGGAGTGAGGAGGAGGAGGAGGAGGAGGAGGTGGAGGAGGAGGACGACGACGACGCCTGTCTTACGACGTGACCCCCACTGGCCTGGACCTGCCCCCGGGGCCCGGACTTCCCACCCCGAACCGCTGCTCTTCTGAGGGCCGAGGCCCCCAGGCAGGGCCCCATGCAGGAGCCAAAGCAGCTGCGAGAGGAGAAAAAGGGCCAGCGGTGATCTTACACAGACACCCCTCGAGGAATGAAAAATCACGACGGGCAGTTTGTCGCTGTTTTCGGCCTCTGGGGGCCCTTCCCGGGCCTCGGGATCGTCAAAAAACGGCTCGGGATGAAAAACCGGTCCCGGGGAATCTGTGGAAACCTCAGTGGTGATCTGCCCCGATACGCAGCACGCAACACGTAATTAGCGCATGGATGCGGAGAGCTCGACGCGTAGGCTGAAAACGAAGGTATGGCGCGACGCGTTTGCCGAAGCGTGGGCCTTTGCGCTCAGCCAACTCGCGGCGTGCTGACCCCTACGTCTTGAGCACGGTGCGCGCTGTGCTTCGAAACGGGCGCGCGGAAGAGTCGGGCTTTGCTCGACCCGAGGGGGTCTGGGGGCACTGGCCTCAGGTCGGGCCTCTCCCCCCACAGGCGGATTCTGGACGTCCAAAAACATCTAAACATATAAGAAACTACTCCAATAATATTTTTCATGTTTTAATACAAAATACTCCAAGAATCGTCCCCAGACTAATTATTTGATGACCATTTTTGAACAATCCCCCTGTAGAGGGACTCGCCCGACTTGCCACTGGCCAAGTGCACCGCCCCTGCGCCCACGACGGGCCCGGCCAGTGCTTTGTTGTTCCCATCCTACTTCAGGACCACATCCCGGAAATGACTTCGAGCACCCGGAGAAAAGTGTCAAAATGAGTGTCGAAACAGTGTCGAAAGAGTGTCGGGCGAGTGTCTCCCAGGGCCCGACACGTGAAAACGCTTGAGTTTCGGTACTCTTTTCGGCGCTCGAAATTCTTCCTGGTGATCAAGGAAGGCTAAAGTAGGTTGGAGCATCATAAGGCCAGGGAAGCCAGCGCCGGTGCACAGAGCTCGGGGCCGTCTGGCGGCCTGGCCTGGCCGCCGCTGCAGCCGCCCAGCGCCAGGCACGCCGCAGCCCCCAGCGCCGCGGCCGCGGCGGCCGCCGCCGCCCGCGCCAGCGCCATCGCGCGACCCCCGCTCGGAGGAGGGCCCGTCGAGACAACGGCGGCGCCCTCCCCGGCGGCGGGCGCGCTCTGCGGGCTTTCCCCGAGGCGTAGCTCGTCA